TGCGTTTTGGCCACTTCCGAATGTGATAGAGACGAAAGAAAGTTACTAGCGTTTGCTGTATCTAGTGCTCTATGGAACTAATGGTGAAGATGAAAATGTTGCACTACTATCAGAGCGAGCCCATGAGCTGTGCAGGATCTAAAGGTGGTTTTTTACGATTTCAGACTCACCTCGAACTCAGATCATCCGTTTCAGTGGACAATGATCTTGGTATTATCGATTTTCCACTAATGTGTTCCATTCTTAGCCACATACCACTCACCCAACCCATACTCCTGAATGAAATGGGGCGATATCGTCATCGTTGAAATACTGATCCTAATGAAAAGATGTAAAGCGATGCAGTTCAAAACTTTATTGTGCATATTTATTAGGCTAGCACGAAGTTATAAAAAGCCAGATATTTCCAACTACGTAAATCATAGGAATGTTGCTTCCACAGATTTATCAAAATTATGCATAAAGTCGCATGTGTAACCCATTAGTTAGCGGCTCCTTTCGATACACACGTTTTCGTTGGTTCGATATCACGCCCCGAACTCATTACACTTTCCATTGCTTTAAACCCACACCAGACTGGTCTAGAAGATAGAAGCACTGACTCGATGTATTGGCAATTCCCCATTGTTAGGCCAGATGTGCATTCAGTCATTCCCATCTGCGACGAACAACGCTTAACGCTTTATGTAAAAAGGCTTCAACATTGTTTTAAGAAAGACTTCCAGTGAGTGTTTGAATGGAGTTTAAGATGATTTCCATTAGCACTTTGGAACAGCTTTACTAAAGCATTCCGAAATCTGAACAGCACTGTCGGCCTCTGAAGGTAAGAGGAAATTTTCTTCAACGAGTCTGATAACACTTTGACGTCTCCAGAGCGTGGAGAGCTTGGATTCCCTTGTGTGTATTGACTAATTTCTCTTTTTGAACATTTCGTCAAAGCTCAGAGAAAGACTTCCAGTGAGTGTTTGATTGATCAATCATGATATACTTTACTAGAAAACAGATTTCATCTCTAACAACGCCCAACTTTTTATTTACTGTCTATTAACTCTTGGCGGCCAGTTATTATGTGAAATACAACCATGAATATGATAGCACTCACCAGTTGTTATCCCTTGAAGTGGAGGACGTAGAAGAATCAGTAGCTGAACACATTGCGAACAATAAGTAGTAGCAATATATACGCGATTAAAAAGCATTTTCAAAAATATTACCGGTAGAATGGAAGAACATGCGATGTTTACATGCCAATGCCAACGCTTACAATTAGGAAAAGATTCTCTACATGAAATAAATAAGTACGCACCAACTCCATTGAGGGTTGCTCGGATGAAAATGACGTGACTCGATGTTTGAGAAGTGTTAAGGTTTTGATAAAAAGGATAAAGGGTAAAGCTTTCGAAGATGGTCAATCCATGAGGGATGCGCCATGCATTCGACTTCGTTAAGCAACGTTTGAATGTTATTGTCCTTCCATGCCATCGGGTTTTTCTCCGTTATGTTACAGGCAAAGTCCCTGTTAAATTCGTTATTCCTTTGCCAACTTCTTTGAAGAAGTTGTGGAGTCGTTGGCGCTTATTACGTAGTGGTCCTTTGAGCTATCAGTAAGCGACGCACAGTCAGTAGTATGGTTCTTTCATCGAAATTCGTTCCTTAAAAGAGAAATTCGTTCTTGGTAGAAATATTTTAATTCCGGCTGTCATGGATAAGTCGAGCATTTGTTTTGGAGCAAATTATTCGCCGTTGACACATACGGGAACGATTTCTTCACTCTGGATCTCACCACAAACTCTTTATTACCAAAAAGCGACGTGTATAACATATTGCAAGCTTGAAGATTTTCCATTTTCAATCAACGTAACGATACGTTATCGTTGTATGCAACTGTAAGAATTTGTTAAACACGATTATAGGCAACCGATTCGAGCTGGAAACTATAGGATCTTCGCTGCCCTTCACCGAACAAAAACTGAAAGAGCAGCATGCAAACTCGCACATTCAGCTGTAGAATTCTTGGCAAATGACTCTTACCGATAACCAGTTAATCTCTGATCCTTTTGAGCCTTGATTTCGACTCCTCCTTTGACACAACCTGGCAAATCATAACCATGAGAGATCGATTGAATCTGTACCTCAATTTTTTTCCCTGCGGGCGCCTAAATGCTGTTAAGTTCTTTTGCAATGCGAAGGGCTCCAGATCAAGCAATCATACCGTAATCATGTAATTGCAAAATTCATAGCGATCCTTGGGTTTGAATTTACCTAATTTACAATTGATCACTTGTTTCTTAGTTGTCGCCACGAGATCATCTCCACATCCAGGTGGCTACAAATAAGTCAGAATTGTGTCAAATTTACGCCCATCCATAACTCTCGTTCAAACCCGCCGATCACACAGAGCACCACCGTAGCCGCTTGGACAAATGCATACGGAACAGTTTCGAGGGTGAGGAAATCCTTGGTTCGCACATTTGGCCGATGTGGCTTTTTTGCATTTTGCTGAATAATTAGTCTCTATCACGTTTCATGTTGTTCTAATACAAAGCATAAGTCGTAAGTCTGTCTGACCATTGCAGCCGTGATGTTCATTGACTGTGAAAATATCAGTGAACGATATCACCTCTGATCCCATGGTCCTCTGATAAAGAGGGTCTTTAGCAATTATGGTACGCTGGTCGTTAGAAGAGCCACTGAAAAATAAGGTGATAACCGCAACCGTAGCGAAAGTAATCTCTTGTATACTAAGTGCAAACCTCATCTCGTTATAGTGCATCACACTGCCGTAATCGTACTTGAGTCCACAAACATCAGCAACGTTTTTGTTACATTTTAGAAAGTTGTTCATATATGTGGGCTGAACCAATTTTATGGACCTTCCAAGAAGCAGTAATGACTGCTTTTTCTAACAATGACTCACATCAATATTCTTTTCGATGATTGAAACGTATTCGTCACGATCATATCGTGACATTGTGTGGTAAAGACCGAGAACGTGACCAATCTCATACGAAACTAACCCTTTCTAAACCATCTATTTCACGCAGTTCTAGAAAAAATACACAACTAAACAGAAAGCACCCTCAAAAACACTAACGTGAAACAAATGCTAGTGACAGATAATGTATAGTGAATCCAGTTGATCATTTCCCTAAGAATATGCCATGCATTCAACCCCATTAAGCACGAGGATATCGAAAGCTTTCAGATTTTTTTCACTACCCTCCTCCTTCCGCAAGTATTCTGGTACCAATTTCTTGACCAGTGAAGATAGACGACAAACACATCGCGAAATTTTTCAGAATCCCTAATTAAAATGTATCGCACCGTAGCACAATCTTCGTTAAGGGAAAGAATCTGGCTTCCACCGACTTGCCCCAGTTTCGACCAACATTCGGATCCTTTAATCACGACCACCTTGTCTCGAGCTGTAGATAGTTTGTGTAGAGAAGTGTTGCTTTTATTTGATGTGTGACTTGGGACTAGCCGTCTCTGCTTTCCACGAAATCGACGTAAGTGGTCTCCGTCCACACTTTTATCCCCATTCTAAACGCTTTATATATGACGTAGTCTGAAATTTTATTTTCAAAATTGTACACATAGATAGCAGATAGTGCAGAGTTCATACACTTCCCTCAAGTGGTCGATTCAGATGGTTGTGAATAAAGCAAAGTCCAACAAAATCTTTGCGACCACACCTACAACCTTCCCTCAAGTTCATCATCGAGTTACTCTAGCAGGCATCAGCCAACCTGATTTTCGACATCGTTTTGGCCACAGCAAAGCTCCGATTAGTGATCGCCATATTAAGGAAGAATTTTTGAACTATCCTTCTACTACCTTAGGGTACTTCGATTCGTCGAGAACTCGATTGCGCGTTTAATAACGCTGATTGGTATTTCAAACTACTTACCTGGTATCCTGGTTTTCGAGGAATCATCAATATAATCACATACCATTTTAGTTACTGAACTTTACTGCTTACAATGTTTAGCTTTTATTAACTACTTATTCACTTTTAATGGCAAACTGTTATGTGAAATATAACCACAAGGATGCTGAGATATGAGCAAACCCCAGTACTTCAGGTTAGCTTCGAGCCCATGACTACCCTTTTCGAGGGCTCACGTGTAATCTACCGTTACAACCGAATCTCTTGATTTGATTTGTCTTTGTATCAGCCAGTTTTTCACCCTAACTGTGCTGTAAGCAGTTAACGGTCAACGAGAATGATTCGCTGAGCATAAGGCTGCACTGAACCCAGTTAAGCTGAAGCTGTATTCATTCACTGCATAGTTTTCCTAATATGATTCAAAGTTCTTAATTACAATAACGTCTAAGACAAATGAAACTTTTTCCAACTTTCTATTTTTGAAAGACATCTGCAGAAGTGGAAATGTTTTGCTATTCTAAGCTGACTAACTCTAGTTTGCAGTAAACCCAATTAGGAATGAGACAGTTCCTTGAGCACTAACCTGTTGTGTTGAACGTATAGAAAATGCCGTCTTTCCATGTCGAATTCGAGATGGTAAAGTTCATAACCACTTGTCTTTTTGCAGAAGCGCTGTTTTCTATGTCCTCAAAAATTGGCTCAACTCTTCTTCTGTGAAAAAATTCACCAAAATACTTCTGAAATCGACATGACTGAATCATTTTCAATGCTATGAAGTACTTTTTTAGGACGATGTCATTTTGTAGGAGACTGGTTCCAATGCCTTGTTCAGAGTTGCACTTGAAAAACGACCCGTTCAAAATTGGAATGTAGTCCTTCGAGTTTGCCGCGATCTCCTGTTAAGTAAGTAATGAGGTGTTTGAAATTACAAGAGCCAAACGCTGCGAAAAAATGTGAAAACGACACCTTCTGCCTGTGATCAACTTTGTTTTGTTGCTCATTAGGCGATCTCGTTCCCTTCAACGAAGTTCCCCAAAAAATGTGTCCAGGTGCGGAGACTCCAAGGTAATCTTCGATCTAAAAGTGTTCCAGTTTTGTGGGTGTAAAATCTCTATAGGCTTACTACCTTCGGCTCAGGCAGATTTTTATCCTCGGCCTCCTGAAGTTCTTGATATTCGGATAAAAAGCTGTTGACTTCACTGTCGGCGTCAGGAATGTTGCCCTGCGTCGGTACGATGGTGATGGTGAGTAGTAGAATAGTTGCCATCTTAAATGTCCCGATTTTAAGGAGTCTATCATGAAAAAAAACTGTACCGAATCTTGCTGTCACGGTTGAGTGTTACACTATTAGTGCCTATTATTTAACAAACGATCATAGGAAACAATAGCAAAGTTTCAACGATTAACTGCCGCTACTCTATTACCGCTGCAGTGGGTGATCTAGGTTTTCAAGAAGGAAATAGCGGAATAGGAAAGAGAAGAAGAAGGGCACTGACGATGTTCATTCCATTTACAACACTCAGAACCATTTTATGCCGTTGAATATACGCAAATTTGTTCACCTGCTTCAGAAAAGCTGTTTAAATCGCAATCTTTCCGACGAACTGCACTATGCTTATTCAACTGACATCATATAATCCATTTTTTGCAAGGAAATCTTGTATTGCAAGGTCGCACGAGTTAGCTCCGAAAAAGTTCCTCTGAACTGTTTTTATCTTTTCAATTCCTCTAACAGTTCTATGGATTTTTTCTCCTGGATTATCATATGTAAACCTTACACTGAGCATGAGCCTCGGCTAAAATATGGAAGCTAATGGCACTTCGGCAATAGCGCGTCATTTAAATGTGCTTAAGAAAAAGGTTGGTAGGTATAATATTTTTGCAGTAAAGAAGGGAAAGTAGGTGTCAATAAAAGCAGTAAAGGCAGAAGGTGTCGTTTTCACATTTTTTCGCAGCGTTTGGCTCTTGTAATTTCAAACACCTCATTACTTACTTAACAGGAGATCGCGGCAAACTCGAAGGATTACATTCCAATTTTGAACGGGTCGTTTTTCAAGTGCAACTCTGAACAAGGCATTGGATCCAGTTTCCTACAAAATGACATCGTCCTAAAAAAGTACTTCATAGCATTGAAAATGATTCAGTCATGTCGATTTCAGAAGTATTTTGGTGAATTTTTTCACAGAAGAAGAGTTGAGCCAATTTTTGAGGACATAGAAAACAGCGCTTCTGCAAAAAGACAAGTGGTTATGAACTTTACCATCTCGAATTCGACATGGAAGGACGGCATTTTCTATACGTTCAACACAACAGGTTAGTGCTCAAGGAACTGTCTCATTCCTAATTGGGCTTACTGCAAACTAGAGTTAGTCAGCTTAGAATAGCAAAACATTTCCACTTCTGCAGATGTCTTCCAAAAATAGGAAGTTGGAAAAAGTTTCATCTGTCTTAGACGTTATTGTAATTAAGAACTTTGAATCATATTAGGAAAACTATGCAGTGAATGAATACAGCTTCAGCTTAACTGGGTTCAGTGCAGCCTTATGCTCAGCGGATCATTTTCGTTGACCGATAACTGCTTACAGCACCGTTAGGGTGAAAAACTAGCTGATACAAAGACAAATCAAATCAAGAGATTCGGTTGTTACGGTGGATTACACGTGAGCCCTCGAAAAGGGTAGTCATGGGTTCGAAGCTAACCTGAAGTACTGGGGTTTGCTCATATCTCAGCATCCTTGTGGTTATATTTCACATAACAGTTTGCCATTAAAAGTGAATAAGTAGTTAATAAAAGCTAAACATTGTAAGCAGTAAAGTTCAGTAACTAAAATGGTATGTGATTATATTGATGATTCCTCGAAAACCAGGATACCAGGTAAGTAGTTTGAAATACCAATCAGCGTTATTAAACGCGCAATCGAGTTCTCGACGAATCGAGTACCCTAAGGTAGTAGAAGGATAGTTCAAAAATTCTTCCTTAACATTACGATCACTAATCGGAGACTCGGACTTTAGGACTCGATTTTTCAGTGGTAGGATTGTGCAAGTGTTTGTTCGAGTAGAATCCATATCATTGTGACCCATCACACCCAATGAACAAAACTGGATACGGCCGAAACATTACCTAGCGCGAAGTAGCTATTGTATTAACAACTTCATCATTAAAACGAAAACAATAACCGATCGATCAATTTTTGGGTTTACAGAAATTAGGCCAAGAATTGATCCTGGCAGTTAAAGTCAAAGAACAGCTAGAAATACTATTCGAAAGCTTCCGCAAACGGTGGATATTTTTTTTAATTGAGGTGCTCAAAATACCTTGCTTTTACTGTAATCATCTGCTGTCACTTTCATTCCCACTGGAATGGCCTAGTTTGGAAGCTCCTGTTTTTCCAATTATCAGTTTTTCAATTCAAAAAGCAGCTGTAATGATATTACACGACACTTCTAAAGGCTGCTTTTCAATCCATGGGGCTCGATGGTCAATCTTGCCAACGTACGCTCCTTAGGGACACTTCTTGGCTTCGAGAAAGTTTGGATACATATTTGTAGCTCTTCCTTGGAGCATAATTCTTGAAGATGACGCAAAAACGAGTATATTGTGCATCAACACATAAGCACCTCCACGGTATGAGCTGTTCGGCAAGTCCGATTGAATCGTTTGCTGTAGGTCGACATAAAGTATCTATGTTCTTGTTGAGCAAACACGAGGTGTTACCTCATTTTGTACTACTATACAGCTGAGATTTCGACGGATTTCGCCTTTTTTGGAGCCTGAGAAGGTCAAGTTGACTGCAACCTACCCAGTCAAGCACCTCCACAACCAAATAGAAAAATTACTAAACCAAGATCTCAATTTCAATGAAAGCAAAATAACTTCTTCGCACAGTCACCGCTTCCTTTAAGTCCTCCATCGAGTGTGTTACTTGAAGACCAACCGCACAGACTTCACATGGAAGCGTAGTGTGCCTCTTACACTAAAATATCAGTCTCAAATACCGCGTGAGATCACGCGCGGCAACGATGCATTGCTCCCTACGGTTCATTTTCAAACTCTGCGATTTCATTCCGAAATTTTCGAAACCTCTGCGCGTTGGTGTTCTCGATTCCACTCCGAGAATTGTAACTTCTACTTTAAAATATGTTCCATTATGTCTTTGTGTTCTATGCGCCGTATTTTCTCTGCTTGGTAATGCAATTGCTTGGCTAGGTATAAAATATTGCAGTCAACTAGAATCTTCCAAGCACTGAAAAAGACGATGCCGCTGAAACGTCAGCTTTACCATAATAAAGAATAAAGTAGCACCTCGTGTTTGCTCGACAACAGTATTGTAGTAACTGATAGTAACTGTTCCCTAAAATAGTTACTATTTCTTCATTTCAACTCACTTACGAGGCTAATTTCGTCACGCGTTTCAGATGAACAGCGCTTTGGGACGCAAATTAAACTATGCACCAGCGAAGCAATGAGGAGGTTCCTGCGCGAGAGATAAAGGTCCACAGGGTATACGCCACGGTCACGATTGCGGTTGACTCGGAGGCTCATTGGATCAGTTCCCAGAATCGACTTTGTATTAACCTCCGCATAGGAATATGAATGTGTTGTTTTCTTTTTCAGCAATCGCGAGGTTGTTGTACAGCATACATTTCCTTCCACAGAAAAACACAATGCAATACAATAGTAGCTGAAGTTTCGGCAGTATCGTCTTCCTCAGAACCGCTTTTTTTTCGCGAGTTCCAATGTGGGAGAGTAGAACAGCTGATTGTAGTCGCATATTGTTGATGATTGCACCACCCCGCGTCAAAAATTGATGCGAAGATAGTGGGCCAGGTCGCGTGTGACCTCTCGGCATAAAAGCGGTGAGTGTTTCAGCAAGCTGTTGATCATGTAATTGCTATGGAGTTTTTCGTCTTTTTGTAAGTGTTATTGAAGCGTTTAGCCTAATAAGTTGTATATCAGTATACCCTTCCAGGCCCTGAAGAAGGCGACACTGCCGAAACGCTAGCTACTGCTGTATTATGTGTTTTTCTATGGAAGTAAATGTATGCTGTATAACAACCTCGCGATTGCTGAATACGAAAACGACGCGCTCACTGGATCACCACTCCTCGCTCGCGCGGTGGTGCTGGCAGTTCATGTAATAGCCTCTTTAGTTCATCGTTCTTGTTGAATAATTACATTATCGTTACCTCGTCTCATCATTGTTTATCGCATTCCTTCGCTGCTTAGCTGGTTTACGGTGTGCGGTCAGCAGCGGCTTGTATCACCGAGTGCGTTCTCTTTGCAACACCATCGGGGGCCTGTCGGGCATTCGTTCCCCGGTGCACGCCATGCGTATGAAACGGCTAGCCAGCTTACATTTATGTTGCGTAGCTGTAATGCTTTATATCCTTATTGAGCAAACACGAGATGTTATTTCATTCTTTACTCAAAAATGAGCTGACGTTTCCGCCGATTTCGCCTTCCTCAGAGCCTTGAAAGGTCAAGTTGACCGCAATCTTCCCAGCCAAACACTTCCATAACCAAGCAGAAAAAGTGCTGAACCAAGATTTCAATCACATTAAACACAGAATAGCTTCTTCTTCTCTCCGCCTTCTATGAGTCTTCCGCTGAATATGTTACGTGGAGACCAACCGTACAAAGTTCACATGGAAGCGTAATGTGCTTCTAACACCCACGCGTATATAATGTACTAATATACTAATATAACTAACCAGTAGTAATGCCACAGTAATCGGCTCATCAGTTTTCAGTCGATCCACTTTTGGCCCATGTCATCTTTAGGGCAGTAATTGCACCCATCGATGCCAAACTTTATGCTGCAGAGGTTGGTCGACCGCGTTGGAAGCGAGCATTCCACCACTGAACCACCTTGTAACCCTTGTGCAAATCGGAGAGGGTACAAAGCAAGTGTGAGGACGTATCTCACTTGCGCAGCAGAACACCTAAGAAGAATCTGGACTTTAAGAGTCACACACAACATGGTCGTCCTTGAGAAGAAGAAGTCCAAGAATGGGCGAGGTAAGTTTAATTAGCAGATGTGTACTTATTTTCAATGCAAAAAAGCACCTAAGAGGATAACACGACAAAGACATAGAAGTAGCAGCTTAATACTGTACCCTCAAACTCTCCTAGAAGTAGGCGGAAGACTTTTAACCATTCGCTGACAGTCCTCTGAACCCATGGTTACGACGTTCATCGTTTTATCAAGCACATTGAAGCGATTGTCAGATTTGTGATAGTGGCACGATGGTGAATTTAGGAGTTCACAAATGCTTTGCCATGTGGAGGCTACTGCTTCGAATTTCGCAGCATTTTCAAAGGTGTGGTAGCGCAGCCGTCCATCCCCTGATCTATCACTTGAATCAAAATAATCACCATCTTCTTGTTGTCGATGCCAGCACACCATCTATACAAGACCTGATCTGCCATAAGAATGCTGAACCCAAAGAATTCAAAGTCAATCACGATTCTCTTGCATTACCACATTCACAAAGTTGACAACGACACAATGATCCCGTTGAGCAAGTAGGGACATAAAAGGTCTCCAAACGAAATCGAATTCGTTGGGAACCACACAACTCTGAGGAGTAGATTTATACATTGGCGATGGATGTGATAAACGTGGTAACTTGAGCTTCATTAGATTGACATTTCACGAGAAGCCATATATACAAAATCGTTGAGATCAGTAGCTGGAACAATTATGAACTGCCACAGACTTCTGCACGAAGCTATCGATGAGTGCTACGAATGGTACTTCTTTTGCAGAAGATGAGATGATCCATGATGACAACCGGATCTGATTGAAGGACGGGCCGTAAATGCCGCTCCGCCATCCATGAGTGTGGCCGAAAGAAGGTACAACATCAAACTAGGTACCGCTTTCGCGTGTTCGTAATTTTTATTTCCTCAAAAATATTTTCTGCCTCCATTTTATCATGACTATGGCATTCGCAGTTCTAAAACGACGTACTACGTAATACAGTAAAAAGTTTGACATGATACCAATATAGTAACTATTCCACAAAATAGTTACTATTAGTTTATTTCAATACTCTTATGAGGCTAATTTAGTTAAGCGCTTCAGATGAACAGCGCCTAGGGAGGTCAACTAAGGTGACGCACCAACGATGCAAGCAGGAGGTGCCAGCGCAAGGGCCAGGAACCTACGGGATACGTGTCACAGTCACGATTGCGGTCGAATAGGAGACAGTGCATCAACCTCCTCGTCCCTGCGCGGTAGCGCCGGCAGTTCATGTAGCACCCTCCTTAGTTCATCGTTCTTATTGAATGATTGCATCATCGTTGCCTCATATCAGCGTGGTCAGTAGCGGCGGATATTTGCAAGCGCGTTCTGTTTACAACGCCACCGGTGGCATGTCAACCATTCCTCCCACAATGTACGCCATGCGTATAAGACCGCTGGCCAGTTTACTTATGCTGTTTAACTGTAATGTCGCCATAGTCAACTTACTAGTTCTTTATCGCTTTATTTCTGGTCGAAGCCGTCCTTAGGTCACTGATTGCACCCATCGATGCTCAAACTTCACGCTGCAGATATAGCGTCATCCAAGACCTGCCGCCCGAGGGCGTCCCATAGATGACCTATTGACCGTGTAATCGCGCATTGACCTTACTACTTATTGATTTTCTTTTCCTCCTGTGATTGCAGATGTGATTCATTTGATCCGGTCTGACCATGTCCATGTAGGACCTTGCGGCTACGGTCCAGGTCAGCACTACTTTACTCTCTTTCTCTCTGCGTTGCTCAACCTGATCCTCTCCGCCTACCACACTATCTCGGCCGCCGTACTGGCAACGCTAACAAGTCGTTATTTTTATATTGTCATTATTGTAATTATCATTGTATTAATTTTGTAATGATATTGCAGTACTATTGCCTTTAGTAGCTATGGCATCTCATAACACTTAACTTCCCTTGTTTCGTGCCAATGGTTTTTTGTTGCTACTATTACGTTGTTATTGTGTTGTTAGTGCTATTGTTATGTATATAAAATTCTAATTACCCAACTTTTAGGTGTGGCTATTCGCAACGTTCCAAAGACCCGTCTGGTGAGCTCATCTACACGATCCGAACCACTTCTTCCGCATCTATCTCTTTATTACAAATATGGAGAACTGTTCGACCTATGCCTAAGTTATAAAAAAATTGATCATGGGATTTACTTACAAATTCTGTCATCTGTTGCATATCATAGTCTCCAGGAACATATCTTGGCCTAGATGACTGCTGAGGGAAGGCGTTAGTCCAGATGAGGTTCAAAATTTTTGGATAGGAATTAACATAATTGTCGTAAAACTGGGCAAGCTTCATCCTGTACTATAATTTTCAAGAATAGGAAATATAAAGAAAAGATCTGTAAACAACATAGCCAGTTACCCTCGTAAACGAGTTTACTAACGAAATACCGACTTCGCACCAATGCAATGGTTTGATTTGAATATGGAAATCAAAATTGAGATTCCGAAATATCGTTATTGAATAGTGAACTAATGAGTATTCGAAATCAATTCCGTTAACATCATAGATGCGTTCTTCTTGCAAAGACATGAATTGACCATTGAAAAATACCACTTCAACATCATTGACAAAAAAATAGTGGTGACGCATATACGGACAAGTTAATATGTAAGCACCCAATCTTTCATATCCTATGGCAATGCCCAACAGTTTTAACCCAATACTCAGCCTTGCTAACCTAGGCCCTCGCCAATAAAAATGGTAGTTTCTAAATCATGAAAAGAATGAAAATTGCACTAACGTGTGAATTCACAATGATGTCCTACAAGTGACAAACTTATTTATTTCAACTATAAGGATGCCGAGATATAAGCAAACCTCGGGATCTCAGTCCGGCTTGGAACCCGTAGTTACCGTTACCGATGGCTCACGTGCTACCCACCACACTGTAGCGCTAGCCTTTCTCTCAGTCATATTTCTTATCTATTGGCTTCCTTTCCTCTCTCAGTAAAAACATGGCTGAGAGAAAGGCTAAGCAAGACTCCGTGACGGGTCTCCTCTATAGCACGTGGGCCCACGTAAAGGGTAACAATGGGTTAGACCCCCAGCTTAGGTTCCTACTCTTGTTAATATCTCTGTCCTTCATCCTGGCGAGATGAACCGTTACAGGAATAAGAAACTTAACACTATTTATTTCAGTGCTAACATAATAATACAACAGCCATACATGAGTGATATCTGCAGTGTTGCTCGTACTTGAAGAAGTAAAAATTAAAAGCTGAGTGACATGAATAATTCACATTGTAGATATTGCTATAAGTACGAAAATAGCAAAATAAAACATAACAAAAGCATACAATGAAATCAATTAAATCCCACTACAGCTGTACTGAGATCGGGAGTGACAAAGTGAAGCTTAGAAAACTTTTCAAAGAATGAACAAAAACTGAACCTGGATTGATTTACTTCACGAATTCACAGATGAAGAATTAAGGGAACAAGTTACTATATATATATATATATATATATATATATATATATGTATATATATATATATATATATGTATATATACATAAGTCGCGTAGGGACATATGTGATACAAGTAGTCTAAGAAGGAACTAGTAACACGTTACATGTTTAAGTAATCTAACCAAATCAACTGACAAGGGAACAAAACAACAAGTTGAAAATACAGTGCAAATGAATAACAACACGTGCGAGTAGAACTATCATGTATTTCTTTTACTTACTATCACCTCCTTATACTTCTCATAACTTTGCATATGTTCGAGTTCTTTCCGTACAATAATAAACACCTCCTCTAGACTCAAAGTCGACAGTTCTCCAATAGGAACAGAGCCGTCGACCACACGAAGTGCCGACGACGAGGATTCGGGACACAACTCTCTGAAAATAGGTGCAAAAAATACATTCCATATGTGGCTGTGTCAAATGCTTATTTGGGTTTAAAGCTCGAAGACTCTCAAAATCATTCTGAAAGTTATATATAACTGGGATCTTCAGCTTATTGATGCGCTGCCTTCTGAATGTTGAGGCGCTTTACATCCTTGCATAATGTTACTATGAAATAACATAGAAAGTGTGAACAAAGTTTGCAATACTGCAAGAGAGCTGGACCACGTATAAATAGACTATACATATATGCTAGAAAGTGCCTACTGAAAAATATGGAACAGTTACTACCATAATCGATTTAATTTTTGAGAAATGTATTCCATTTAAGCGATAATCTGATAACCGAAAATGTATTCCACCGATCACCGGTCAGGCGTTCGGCACTGAGCAAACCGGTAAGGATGCCGAACAACTAAATTTTCTCAAAAAATTTCTCTGTGTTTTCCTGCAGTTATTTACACCATTATTCATAGATAAGCGGTAAAAAAAGCACTGAGTGAACAGTGAAGTGGATGTACCTACACTAAAGCAGGAATCTCCTCAGTTTCTCTTAGAAACTGAAGCTACTACAATAAGCTACAGTAATTACAATCATTTGGCTTTGATGAATCACTTAGAGAATGTCTTGTACCCAATCTCAGTAATTTGTTTAGAGTGGACTGAATGCACATTTATTCTATATCCACATTGTAACACGCAGTAAGTCACGAATGTATACTTGATGTGACTTTGGCACAGGATCGAACCAACGACCATGTGCTCCGCAGAACACCTCTAACCAGGGCCACACTCGCCCTTTATTCCAGTTAAGACGTACTGATTTTCTCTTACAATCAATTTTTGTGAAAATCATCTCGTAATCAGAGAAAATATTCAGATAGAACCTCCACAAATCGCTCATTCTCAACCAAATTGTATAGTCTTACGAAGTAGATTCAAAGTTCTACCCGTACAGGAAAACACAAACGAAGACATTGTATTACTACTAATTTCTCTGTTTGGATTTCCTTGAGGTGCACACACTAAATTTATTACAAATTAGTGTTTAAAAAGTGAAGAACAGTAGTGAGTGCACTAATGAAACGTTAATAAAGCTCTTAATGCTGCGAAAGAAAATCACTAAGTGAATAAACCCACTCCAAAACTTTGCATGTTTTCTTAGACGCGCTCTGCTTTCCAACGAGATTCATCCAGAAAACGAATGGTAATAGACATTGTGCTTCTAAACCACGTCCTTCAGCATCCGTTCCACCGCCGACTTCCATTGCACCCAACTTCATGCTACGAACTGGACGAATGCTAACGGCATACAGTAAGCCGTTGACCACGTTCAACTGAAAAGAATGGATAGAAAGAACTAGGCACAAAAGAAAGCAGAGAATCTGTAAAATAAAATGTCCATTCTTAGATCAAAAAAATTTTTAGATCTTTAAGTGTACATTCCGCCAACGATTGAACCACACATCTTTTGTTGATGTTCTCGGATGTTGATCTGCCACATGCAGTGCGTTTTCCCAACAAAACTTCTAAAGCTGACATTTCTATTAGGTAAGGATAAAGGATAAAGCTCTCGGCGTTGATCAAACCCTAAGAGACGCTCCATGCATTCGAATTCACTGAGTATCGTTGGAGGTGATTGAATGCGTATCTGGCTTTTACAATAACTCGCGGTGGCCTACTAATATATCTAGTCAGTGCTGCTATTCTTTCAGACAAGTCTAGTACCAATTTGCCGACCCCGGAGGGACGGAATGTTTGCTGAGCCACGAGCGCAAGGAACGATCCCATGTGTGTGTCGTAAGGCGCATTCGACCACTGCGCCACACGCGCCCCTATCATAAGCATAATACACAGAATTTCAGTTTTAAAATAACTAGGTCAAAATTCGAGTTATGTCACGACATCACTAAATATAGGGATTACATTAGTACCTCCTTCAACTTTTTTTCATGAGGAATTGGTTTCGGCATGCTTATGGGCGGACTAAAAGAATGGCGAGAAAAGCCGTCAACTCGTAACAACCTAAAAGAAGGTCATATTTTCATGGTTCAGCGAGATCGGATTTAAAAAAAAAAAAAGAAAATCAACAAGTAAAATGATGAAATTAAGTCAGGAAATATCATGTTCAAATAAACAAAATTGGGTTCCAACAAGAAACCAACATTCCGTAATGGACGCTTCACATAGAAGAACCGGACAGTCGAAAGATTCTGTGAAGATTTGCTCAATAGAGTTCGCGAAGAAATGAACGCATGCAGATGAAAACAGTTGCCACTGTTCTACCTTCGAATGCACAAATTCATCATCGCTCTAGGAAGAAATTTAAAAAATGATTTCTACGGTAAACAAATGTCAGGAATCGCAATTGGCCCAAAACAACCAAAGTCACAAAGCGGAAAACTCCTCCGCGACGCAAGGCCAGGTTACGGTAGTGAATTCGAGAAAACAATGCACGTATTTCACGGAACTACTAGAACGGAATCATGCCAAATAATTCCAACGGTGAAAGAGAAAATGTGACTTCCTCTACTTTTTCACAAATACAAGCGGTCTCCTCTATTTGAATGCACTAAGGTCTACAAGTGGTACTACTCAAACGATGTGTTCTATTCGCTACTACAGACGTTGCTGTTTACATAAGAGTAGTAGTTCTGCCTTCTGCTCTCCAAATAGGTCTTCGTGACGTAACCGCTCTCGTCGTTTCGCGTGCTAAAATCTAGGCTGACACTCGGTCAACACTTCAACCACTTCCAAAACTGAGTGAAAATTCTCACTGTTCAGATGCGTTAAAACGCTAACTGGTAAATCCGAAAGCGAAGAAGCCAAAATTTGTGGTAGGAACCTATGATTAATACCTCTTGAAGTGTACCTACCCAAACAGGATTCCACATGAACAGGAGAAACATGGAGGAAAAAAGAATGATTATCCCCGCTCTTTGTGTAAGAATTCAAAAAGCTGGTTTCATTTGCGGCTAAACCAACTATGCCACGTGATGGTTCCATTCTGGTGATTTCTATGGCCGTAGCCGTAGGCGAAGTAAACCTTCTACATGAATGAAAGCACTCATAAGAACATTAGAAATATGCTAGAGAAAGCCAAACATGGACATCCGAGGAATTATGAAAAGTAAGAGGGAATTTTCTCTAAGATGCAGATAAAAAAGAGAACCCTTACGACAATGAGAGTTTTGCACTTCAAACACTCATGTAATAAACTCTACTTACTCTATGGTGAACAGTTTGAAGAATAAGGCAGAGTACCGACGATAGGAATGAGACATGAATGAAAGACAAGGATTCGTCGATGCCAAGAGATGTGACAAGGTGCTAAAAACAAAAACTTTAACCTGTCTTATGATATTCGATGTTATAGTAAATATCAGAGATACAAGTCACAGTAGGTCTTGGTGTAGTCAATATTTTTTTCGTCATCATTTAAAGTACAACATCTTAGCAGAAACTATGTGTAAAGAACAATTGATACACTCATGATCGTTTTGATTTTTGGACAAGTACAGCACTTAAATACACAGAGTTGCAAAGCCTACCGAGGAAACAACTGCCGCGAAAAGGATATATATATATATATATATATATATGTATATGTATATATATATATATATAGACATTCTTGCATGCATACATATATGCATATATATATATATATATATATATATATGTACATCTATATAACGTTCCAAGAATAAGACTTTAATTTCAACTTTACGTCAACTCTTCAAGGACATTTCTTATAAAGAAATAGCTAGACTCTGCATAGATCACCAATTCAACAGATCACGTCTTAGGTAAGTCTTGGACGACAGATCAATTCTAATAAGAACGTTACGGAGGAAAAACAGCACGTGCTTCAGTTCTATTCCGTCAAGTGGAAACATATGTTAATTTTCTATTTGAGTGGACTGACACGAGGTTGGTATAAAGAACTTTAATCCCATCAACGTTTCGGCTCCTTCAGCTTCTTCAGAGCCACGTTGACTCGAGTCGCTTGCTCACAGCCGATCGTTGTCGCGATGTGGGCTGTCGGTTTTGCATCGTGCGGAATCCAATGGAAAGAGCACCGATCGAATGGGAAACTTCAGTCAGCGGTGCCCATATTGCAAGACGGGTATTGTTCCAATTCCGCCTCCAATATGATCTACTTTGAGCTGGTAAAGCATCCTTTAGCAGTCGGTACTTTGTTTGCTAGCACGTAGCATTGCAAACAATATCTTAAAACCCGACTTTGATTAGAATTCGTTAACAATAATCAATAGCTTTCGATTATATATATCTATATTCTACATTTATACAAACCTCGTGTTAGCTCGACCATATAGGTTTATATGTTAATCGGTCATACATTAATTGCCGTGGGCCATATTATAAAAGTTGTTCACAATAAGGTCAATACAATAAGGCACTCCGACACTGTCGTCTTAAGATAACCTGAGTTCACATCATCAGAAAATTCCTAGTTCTAGAAATTGGAAGTGGAACTGTGGAAAACACCTCAAAAAGTAAGCAAAAATTGCCCGCAAAAGAATGATAACGGAATACATCAAAGAACAAAATAGGAGATAATCAGAGATGCAAACAGATAGAGATAGATAAACCGATAGAATCGTGATGGAGATATTCTGCTATGCAAGCCATCCTGGAACTACTTGTGAAACACGAAGGAGTGATAAAAAGGTATGTCTTTTCGATTCAACAGCCCATGGACCTCCTGAAGAAGTGCTTAAACTGCTCTACCTTCAGATGGTCTGAGAAATATTGCACACTAATTAGAGGTTTAGCAATAGAACACCAACTGGCACCAAGCCTTGCCACTGCATCTACGTTTAAGGTGGAATTGATCTACAGTTATTACTCTGCTGTAGATACAAAGACGATTGTTTTGTTATCCGCACCATATACGAGGAAACGGACAAATGTTTTGAGTTACCGAATGAACGGTCAGAGTACATGGAGTTTATTTCAGAGAAACCAAAAGAAATCTCGCTCTCATTTCTGAATGTTCAAACTAACCTAACTAAGTCAGCTTGCATTCACAGTCGATACCAACTTACGACTGCTCAAGTTGCTTTCGAAACCACATATAAAATCTATTGGCACTAAGAATGATGGTTGCAAGACAATGAAATAAATGAAAGAAGGAATGGAATCCACACGACATATTAAGATGGGACATCTAAGTATTAACCATGCAAGTAAGAACGCACACGAAGGATAACCACAGATAGTTAAGCAGTTTTTCTGTTGGTATATATAGCATTTTAAGGCCTTTTTGAACACCAACCTAGTGAACGAGGCAAACGTAACAGAGACTCACTAAGCACTCAGAAATGTAACCAGTTCCACTTCTCCATATGCATACAGTGAATCTTGATCGATTCCCGCATGATGTAAAAGGAGACTGTTCTAAAATGTTGGTCGCTTTTAATGAATCTCTTTGGCATTTTTAATGAGAAGACTTAAAACATATAGCACTTGTTTTCTCAGAACGTGTAAGAAAACTCACAAAGAGGGCAGTTAGAACAGATTTCTGTTGAGAAATAACTGGCATAGCACTAACCAAAATCGGTGATGTCGCGAAACGATTACCAGATTCATCTAAACACTCAGGCACTCATAAAAATACATCACATTAGTATCAATAATAAACGGAAATACGAGGTTTGCTGGTAGCTTCAACTATTCTGATTTTAAATGTCGATTTATTCCACTCTTTTAAAATCTTATTTGGATGTATAAATGACCAGCCGACAGATGATGAGCCATGGAACACCACTTTATTTAGCCTCTTCGTTGCACTGAAACTGTCATCCATGACGGTAGTTTGATTTGTGCGTGAGTCAGCTGGGCCAGTTGAAAATGATTGTTCTTTCCCGAGGTGGTGCGTTCCCAAGTTTGCGTCATATCGGGCATTTTGGACCACAGGATTTTCCGCCCTGTGACTAGGACTATTAATGTATGGCGGTAGCACATTAGTCGATCCACTAATCGAGGCTGATGTGACAGAAAAATCCTCATTTTCTAAACAAATGTTGCGAAAAATTTAAGGAATGTGACGTAGAGATTTAAGATATTAATCTGATTGTTGAACATACCACCGGGATCCTTTTTCACAAAGGCGAATGGGTTTCGTGGCACATCAGGGCGTGCTGACAGCAGATGCGATGGAAATGCCGGCACTTTCTTTCGTGATATTCCCAACAATGTACCAAGCTCAGTACGGTAGGCTGCTACATTCCGAGATTGAGATTGCTGCATACGAGCAAAAGCCTTAAATAAGCCATTCTGGTTTCACATTAATAAACGTAGATCTGTTCAAAGGTCTAAAATAAATATGAAAATCCCGTTAACTATCCAGTGACTCGAACCGGCACCAGTAGAAATCTGTCCATTCTTGTCGGTATTCAGGTGGTTTCAACGACCACGCAGGGCAAATCACTTTGGAAGCTATGCGATTTTTCATCTTTTCTGGCAAAAATTAGCAATTAGCTCACCGAGTTGTTTCGTGCTATGGATTAACTAGTTACCCTTCATGTGAAAAGAGAATTAAATGCAAATCGAAAGCAACCTTGCACATGCTTTCAGAAGAATTCATCAGAATGATTCCGTTTTTGCAGTGTTCAACTAATATAAACGTTTTGTGTTTGGAGATATAGTCACTAATATGGGCCATAATTCTATCTGCGTATAAGCTACTTGTACCCTATACGTCCATTCGGCTCAGTCTCGAATGAAATGATTGTGAAATGCACGAAGAGTGGCTAGAATTTGGGTTTCTGAGAAATTCTCGGAAAGCCACTTATGAGTATTTTTGGCTAAAGAAAACAAAGGAACCAGTCAAACTCAAGAGAGAAGTGAGAAAGGGAGATCTTACGAAGAGAAGAATAGATTCCTGCTGCTTAAAGACGTAGAAGTAGAAGATGGATTCGCAACATCCAACGAAACCTTGCCAATTGTGCGACCAAGGTAATTGCCCTAATTCGCCGAGGTGGAACAACAAGTAAATCCAGAACAGTAGAAGAGAGTTACTACCATTTCTAAACAGACCTCTTCGAAAGGTATACTCAGTTGACTCCACAGTGTTACTGAAGAAGGATAGATCCTCTCTCCTACGAAGTTCGTCTTTTTACCTTCTTCACGAAGTAGTATGCAGTATCCTGTCAATATAGGATGACAATCTAGCATCCGAATTATCTACTTTCAATCTCCATCAACACACTGACTCACCTTTTCGTCTTTTAACTGCCTCAAAATATGGTTATTAGTCAATTGAAATGCGGCAGATGTGTTTGCTGCACAAAAACGAAGACTTACGCAACATCAGCAACTATTACACAAGAATACCTATATGACATTGGGAATTAACCTATGAATACTAGCAATCGCTTTAGCTTCGAGTGCCCTATATTCACCTTATATTCATCATATGAAAAAAAAATTAAACAGATACGACGTTACGACATAAAACGAAGACTTCACCATTCTACAGAGATACTATCATGTTCGAAAAAAGGTTTCCACAAGGTATTGAAAGCTTGGAAAAACTATTTCCACCCACTCAAGAGAATGACATCGAAAAGTAGAATTGGATACCACATTGTTGTGAAAGTCGATGGCTACTAGCTATATCATCCTCGCTCTGCTGAAAACATCATTCTTATAACACCAAGCATTGTGCAAGGGAAACAAATGATTGTCAATTTTACTTTGCTTTAAGAGGAATTGGTTCTCAGTTGACCCCCAAAAGACGAAGGACGTGAGCATGGATTCGTTTGCAATGAATCCTTCATGCTCAATGCAACAAATATCTCCGAATACTCCAACTACATGCCTCGTAAACCTGAATGATACGTAAACAGAACAAAAGCGCAACCAGTGCTATCAAAACTGCTAATGAGCAAGGTAACGAGTATTCCGTGGCAGGTATGACGGAATCCGAAGTCACGACCCATTTTGATTGATAATGACAGCGCAGAGCGCTGTTCTATACGTCAGGAAAAGTTGGTGGGTGAGACCGTGATGTATCCCAACGACAACTGGCGAACAACAGACGTTGGCGACTGGATGCTACGATATGTCAAAGGGACAACAGAAATTCCATTGACCAAATGGTGAGAAGTTTTCAAGAATATACAAAAGAAAAAAGTGGTATTCAACGATTCCCATACGAGACTAGAACAAACTAATTCCATGGTAGTCGAAAGGATACTTTACTAAAGTAACTCCAGACGCTCTCCGATTAATGAAAGATATATGGCACAAAAAAAAATTGAGCGCTAATTCGCTCGTATGAACAGAACTTAGCAGACTATTGCATAAAACTTCTGCGACCGTGCATTTCTGTTCATTTAAACAAATATGCCTTTTCTAAAAAAGCCATTATAATACCTTTTTCCAGGACTGCGTTCAGATAGACAAAAACAGAAGACAAAATACACAAGTACTACTAGAAATGTTTTACCTTCTATTTTCTGCCGACTACAATTTTCACAGCAAGGTACTAAGCGAAATACAACCACAATGTTGCTGAGATATTTGCAAAACTCTGGATCGCAGGTGTCTGCGGTGGGGAACGAACGTGCTATTGTCCTTTCCGGGGAGTAACGCGTTCACCACCACACTAACGTGGGTCCTTCGTTTCGCCTGTCTCTCAGATAGTTCTATCGATCAGCGCCATCAGCAATCACCCATCAACGGGATTGATCTAGGGACCCCATATCGGCACTGAACCCAGTTAAGCTGAGGCTGTAATTGAAATCACAGTGTTTTACCGCATGATGTGGTGGTGAACGCGTTACTTCCCGGAAAGGACAATAGCGCGTTCATTCCCCACCATAGACACCTGCGATCCAGAGTTTTGAAAATATCTCAGCAACGTTGTGGTTGTATTACGATTAGAAATTTTATACAACCAGAAAGGGTTCTCGAGAGGAAAATTTCACTAACAACAGATTTCATCACAGCTTTTAAAAGTGCCTCTAGTTGCTTTGGTATGTCATGTAGTACGAGTGACGCATCTCAAGCGGAACGTCAACAATTTCAGACAGTGGCCTGGTTGCTGAATATAAAATCCGTTCTCCCCAGGGTGCGAGGAATACACATACGCACACACACATTCTGCACAAATTTATGCAGAAGTCGAGAATCTTTCATAAGAAAATACAACATCCTCACTATTGTTCATCACATCAATTGTTTTACTTCACTGTTTTTCCTCGATAAGCAAACATGAGGTTGACATTATATAATTTATTGGTAAACTATAGCTGACGTTTCAGGATTTCGCCTTCTTCAGAGGGGAGTAAATGCAATTAATTGGTGGAGGGCAGCTGCATAGAGTAATACATGGTCAAGGGCTGTGCCTGGGTCAGGCAGGCCAATGAAACAGCCTGAACTATGGCTCGAGGTCACGCGTGTAAACCTCTAATTCAAGGAAAAGCAAGAAATTCATGTTTTCAAAGAACCTCATTCATTCCGTGGTCCATTCCGTACACTTCTATTAAATTTTTGATGCTCTCATAATCATGTTACGAAATTCACAAAGTTCAAAATCATGTTATGACGCCTATTATTGCCGTTGGAAGTAAAGTTTCGAAAAACCATTAATTAAACGCTGTTAGCGTAGCTAACTAACGGTCCGTGCAGCTACCGAGGGCGTGGCTTGTCAAGACCGCCCCTTTCAAACGTACGACGTAAGTGATTCTCTTTATTGCACTACACGCTACTTCTACTCTAGGCATTTTCCTCTTTTTCTCTTTCTTCCTCTTTCTATTACCTTTCTATTGTTGTTTTTCTACCTCCTATTAAAATTATTTTCCTCTCTCTCCCTCTCTATCAAAGCATCGTATACAGCTGCACATGATTGACTGTTCATAAAACTTATAGGATTCTTAAGAGAAGCAATTTAATTTACAATTCCTTCAACTGAATAAAGCAACACTTACTTTCACCTACGAATTCTACCGTGCAAGGTTTTGATTCCCACTTGATGAATGAAAACGCATGATATGATTACGAGCCAAGTAAAGCAAATGAATGACGTCATTACATAACACTAAGCGCTAGGCTTTGTACCGTCAATTGAACATTTTTTCTTATTTCAATACATCTCACTATTTTACAGATATACGAATGAACTAAAGGATCGTTTCAATGTGACTCGTCATTTGGTCAATTCACCTAAACAACATGGTACGTGGGCTTGAAAATTAGATGAAAATAAATCATTTTTGAACGAAAGAAGATAAGATATAACTGAAAAAAGTAGATTCTAGGCGAGAAAAAAAAACAAATATCTGCGCAATTTAACGACGACTTCAAGTCGCCTGCGATACCAGTAGGGTCAGTATAATTCGGCGAGATACCAGATTCCCCTTAAAAGGATTGAGATCACACAAAAGGCTATGAATGCCCATGTTCCATTATACAATTCCACTTCAAAACACTTCACACTAAAAAAAACTTCCCATTCTATCGCCAATCGACAAAGTTCTGGCAATGTCGAACTGATGAGCACAGTCTTTTATTAGCTCTCTAAGTGCTTCATTACTGATCGCCTCTCTTTAAATCATAACTATGTTCTTTTCGATCACAAACTCTAAGTCTTGTCTGGATCTGGAGACTTGCCTGTCCTCAATCTTTCGTAGCTTTCACATAACAAATGAATTCTATTTCATTGCAGGACAATTCCATAAAGCAAGGCCGACTCGTTATTCCCAACCGAACCTTGTTTTTATGCGGGTTTCTTCTTGCAGCGTTCATACCTCCTCTCGTTGCTTTAGAATTCAATGTACAAGAAAGTGCAGTAAAAACTGTCCAACACTCTCATCGATTACGACACTCAAGAGGTAAACGACAGAATAAATTATAAAAAAAATGAAAGTTTAGAATAAAATATAAATTTATGCTAAAATTAGAACAAAATATAAAAGATGTATTGAAATGTAAGATTTTCACTTACAACTTAGGACCGACCGACTCTAAAATCATGTTCTATCCCCGTTTGGAACTTTATCCTCCTTTATATGGCCTAATTTTGGCTACAGATACCATCAAAATTTTCATTCCATGATTGATGATTGATAGTCCAACTTCACTTATGGAAGAAATCAAATACGCGGAAGTACTTGATATACCACTAGTCCTTCCTTTAATAAATTTACGTCCTCGACGAGTTAACATCAAATGAATGAGTTGGATCAACAATTCGTATTTCTTCTTCATAATTTCATAATGAATAAGTCATAAAGGTATCAACCAATGCATAACAATTGTAAATGACCACAACGAAGATTTAGGCCCCAATATTGCAAATTGCAAACTAAGGAAACGACAATGACAAAAACCTTTAAATTTATATGTATTTGGTTTGCCTTCACCAGAAATATGACGAATCCAACTCTGTCCACTACCCAAACGAAGCTATTTGTCACGACCGTACTTAGCCATTAATTCTGACACGTTCGCTGTCATCACCAGTGGTATAGATAACAACTGCCTTGCTGCTCTAGGGCTTGAGCACTGACCAACTGCAACCGCGTAATTCTTTAAAATGTTTCTCGAAGCGAATGCCCGTTCGATTTGAGAGCAATAATAACATAAAAAGCGAGAATGAACAGCAAAATACTCAAAATTAGAAGAGAGCACAACGGATATAGTAACAATTCCAAACCTGAATAGGTTTTATATAGATGTTTCTTGCTTTAAAAAACAAGCAAAGATCCCTCTGTGCTCTCGTAGCATGTGATTTTACTGCGAACAAAGGTGGAATTCAACTATTTTAAGACGATCTTACCAATATCGTATTTAAAGGCGTCATCAACCCGGCGGTCCACTGGGTAATATTTGGAAGCAACATCGTAATGGGCTCATTTCTAAGCAGCCTGAGAATGTAATAACACTGGAATTGCCGTGTTTACCATCACAGATAGACATCAGTAGACACAACCAAACCAAATACACATATACCCATACATATACATCATACACACACATATATACATATACATGTGCACACACACATACATACATACATACATACATACATACAAAGACACACACACATACATACATACACAGACAAAATAACACAAAAAACAGCTGAAAATCACGGAAAAATTGCCGTGGTAAAATATCAAACGCTACAGAAACAAAAAACAAAGTTCTGAACAAAATTCAACGACCGTCACTCACTTATACTCGAGTTCGTTTAGCCTTAGCCTACCTCTCCAAGAGGATTCCGTTGCTGACTCCCACATTAGGTTAAACAACGACTGAATTTACGATTCCTTTTACAAACTGACTGCAAATGGCAGGTTCAGCTATTGAATTACAGCTTAATTTTCATTTACTACTTTACTTTTACCAATTATTTCTTTCATGACATGGCATTATGTGAAACACAATCAGAATGATACAGAGAAATGGGTAAAACTCGGAACCCTAGATGAGCTCCTTAACTGCAATCATCCTTTCAAGGGGCTCACTGGTTATCCACTGCACCACCGAGACCCTTGCTTTATCTCTCTCTCAGCCAGTTTTCTCAGCTTTTCCACCTTCGGCTTAACTACGTTCAATCCCAATTTATGCTCCAAAGATCATTTACTTTGATGGCTCATTGTCGATAGTACCGTTAAGATAAAAACTGGCTGAAAGGCAACGCAAGGCCATCGGTGGTGCAGTGGATAACACGTGAGACACCGGAGAGGTTAACAGCGGTGTCAAAGTTCGCAAAGGTTTACGAGTTTTCCTCATATCTTAGCTTCATTGTGGTTACTGTACTATAATTTAAACACTATGTTAAAACGAAAACATGTTGACTTCAGCAGAAAAAACAAGCACTTCCAATGAAAACCAGAACATGAATTTCACTACTTTGGACCAGACGCGTATTAAACAGATTATTACAAGGTGTTGACAGTTCACAAAGAAAATGCATTTTATAAGAACACCATGAAGACGTAATAGCATGAAAGCATCAAGGCGCAGAGTTCCTGGTCTCACACATCAAATCTGCCGTGATGAAAAATTGCTTTACTCTGCATGCCTTCACCCACTTGAAAAATGTCGGTTGTTCAAGGCCTTTGAAATTTATGAAGGCTCAAACATTGTGGACTAATACTCTAGCAAATCCTTAACTGTAATAATGTAAACAATATAACATAGTATAAAATAATGTAACTTGAAAACTTGGTTTCCAGGTAGTCGCTCATCGCCTTACAAGTCAGCCGCGTCCGCCACCACGAACATTAATTCACATAAATATGAATCCTTCTCACTCAACTGCCCCCATGTTGCCGATGCTAGCAATGATAAAGTCAGTCACTTTCAATCATTTCAATCAGAAAAAAAGGGATACCTTATATTCCTATCAGTCCCTTTAGATTTAGGTTCGCATAGAGGTCACCTGGACGTTAAATGACACTATATGGCTTAAGATTGAAGACGGCCAGAAGAAAATTTTCAACCATTTGACAACGTCCAATAAACGAGTCGTTTCTGGTAACTATTTCGCAAGGACCGATATAGAAATTCCTAGATTTATTTCATTTTTTTCTACCCTTTATCCATCGGAAAACTATTCCCCATATTCTTCTTCCCTTTTCTCGCTTCTCTTATGTAGGTAAATATCACATCACTTTTCCCGAAGACATTAGGAAGGATGGCATGGCTGGGTAGAAGGCTGCCTTAATTTCTGATGCTTGTCAATCAGTAAGCAGTAATCCGTACTGCTGGAGTTCTAGATGAATCGACTTCGCTGGCTTCTACATCATTAAACCAAAGATCCAAACTTTGTCCAAGAAAACTGTAGTACAACAGTCTTAATAAATAGTATCTTCCTTAGTAAACTACGACGTATTCCTTTTTTGATAGATCGGGGCTCGAAACCACTACGACACAATTTCTCTCCCTTCTCCAACGATTCTATATAAGTCTTCACATAGAACTCTTTATGCGATATTAATATTGCCATTGATACTACTCTTTAATCATCGTGCCTTGCTTGACGCTTGCCCACCTAATTTCAAATGTTTCCGACACTCGGAGTCACTAATTATCGACTAGTTAGCGATTTAGATTTCTTCGGCACAAAAATTGTGTGGAGATATATTCGACTTATGTTTACTAGCCAAACCCTGGTCGATCTCGAACACTTCTTGCCAATTTTCATGGCCAAATTATGAATCTCTATACGTTAGCTACCAAGCGCTCATACTTAGGAAGTCCATAGTAATTAGTTTGTTGACTTCTTAACAAAGAAATTTCCAGGTAAAACTGTTCTTCGTGTGCTTCTAAACAACGGTCGGTATTTCTTTGATTATGACGAACTCACGGGTGACTTTTCAATGGAAATTAGACCAGTACATGAAAACGACGCTGGCGTGTGGCAATGTCACGTTACGGTATACCAACAAGGAAATACCCATACGCTTACGAGCAGAAACAGGGTCAAAGTACCCCATAAAGTCGGTTCTTTTAGATTTCTTATTAATAAAGGAAAAGAAAACTTGAAAACACAGAAAAAGATCTTTGAAACATTTTAAAACCTTTCGATATACGACTTACTAAGCAAATATTCTAATCTACTCTCCTATACCAACGTCCTTCTCAAGAACCTTTTATGCGAATCTCAAATGATAACGTCACTTCATTTAGTGTTTACTAATTAGTTTTCTCCCTACATTCTTTCAGAACACCTGACAAATCTGATGAAATAATGTAATCTCTTAATAACGAACCAAGTTGAAACTATGAATACCAACTTCATTAGTTGTACATCACAAATACAAAAACACGCTACAGAAAACAACGTCACTGCTACGAACTGCTGATCGACTACTCTGGTGAATGAACACGAAGCAGATCCATTCCTTATAAACGACATGCTTTAGCTTAAACCGAATTTCCGTCGTGCCCGGAAGGCCGCGACATTGAATGAGATGTAGTTGATGAGACTACGCTCAACTTAGTGTCGAAACTATTTTCTAACTATGGTTTTGTTAGTGCAAATTTAAGTGAAAACTTTGAAGAGCGAATTTACAAGTTCTAAAATGTATTGTCATGAATACATATGCGACGACGTGATGTCTCTAGGAGTCACATACCACACGAAAATAATGGCCGCTTCCAGTTTTGAATCGACATATCTCAAGTCACTGTAAATTTTACTGACTGAAATATGAGTTGTTGAAAAGATAAAGTCTTTGCCTATAGGATTTCGTTATTAATGTTTAAAAAGTTTTAGTTCTAAACGTATTTAAACTAGGAAGGACACTGTATAGAAAGCATATATTATATACGTTGTGGTTAGTGCGATGAAGTAGTCTCTTTTATAAATATATAAAATTTCAAACTCCGGAGATGCTTAGGCGTTTAATTAAGCATGGTCAGCTATAAAACCAGCTTCGTTGCAAAAGGATTAAGGAAGGTTCTAAGGACAACATCATTTGTCGTCTTACCATTTACAGGACACATTTTTCCTCCACAAAACACTTTCAGTATGGGAGTTGAATTTAAAAAAAAAAACAAATAATTAGAATGTATAAACACCCTGTGGGAAAACGTTGCAAATTTTCCTTTCACTTTCCTCTAAAGATTTGCTACCTCTTAGAGCAACATAGAATCCGATTCTATTTTGGGAAATGCTGGAAATTTTACAGGACTGTATTCTAGAGCACTGCAGTAAACTCTAGACTGAAGAAGTGCAATTCAGATTGACAGGGAAAATAATGAGCAGAGGACGATGGAAAATGCGAGAAAAGAGATAGTATCAGTAGAAATACCACCTCAATTCAAATTAGCTAGTAGTACGCCCTCAAGTGATAGATTGCCATTCTTCACCAATTTCATGGGCGAATTCATCGCAAGATGTCACGACCCAAGCATATTTCACATTAGCATACATCACTGCACTCGAACCTCATCGTCTTTACCATCGGTCTAATTTGACCGATAAGAATTATTCTCCAATAAGTCATAAAGTGCGCTACAAATATACGATTCGCCTTCAATCCATGAACCTTAAATCGGTTGGCCAAGAAAATGCAGTGCTCCAGGAGCTAGGGTTTAAATAAAGGCGGACCTAAAGCAAGTATTAACTTGCGGGGAGGTGTAAATGGATGCAAAGGGTGGGCTCACATATTACTGCGCCAAAATGATTAATGCACTTCGTATACACGCAGTGAGATACATACACACTGGCGGATGCGATTGAATGAGTTCGGATTATATCTTGCACATAAATTAGGCCAAATTCTGTAATAAATTTAGGTGGATAATGAATGGGATGCTGGTACACGGTTGCATTTAACAAATAAGCACCACAAGAGCTCGCCAAGCTACCCAGAGCCACACGCAGAAGAGCAGAGCCTAGGAGAGTGATGAAACGCATTTGTCTTCTTCTAAAGATTCGCAAGCATTTTGAACTCTAGGACACAACGTTAGATATTTATATTATAGATACAGATATTTTTTCGGTAACTGACTATAAATTCTCCTTTAGTAGATATACAATGAATTCACTACACTAAAGATATGTAAAAAACATTTTGTTCAATCGCCTACAATATATGTACAATTTTTACAAAGTTCTGTTTCATTCTTAAACTTCGTTGGGATTAAAATATTCAAAAGAGGGAAGTTGGATTGTTAACATTCCTAACAGATACGCAGCAGCCACAAAAATCAGCGATACACTAATATATATCATAGATTACTATTCTACAAAATCCCAACTGTTCGGTCGAATCGAGTGGTCGACATTCAGGTTTCGGTGAAAAAAACGAAACGCAAGTACGCTTCGTGGACTTCAAACATAAGAACTTTGACGCTACAGAACAAAAGAACTTTCATATTAACGCCAGAGATCTGTAGATTTTAATGGTCTCTATCCCAGTTAATAAAACAAAAAATTTAAAAGTTAGAAAAGAAGTTAAAATAAATAGAACAGAAAATAAAAAGTTAATAAAATTCTTTACGATCTCGGATATGTTGCTGGAAATTCTGAAAGCGGTCATGGTTTTCGAACCATACGCACTAAAAATAATGAATATTGGAGGCTATTTGTTAGAATGCATTCAAATAATGAACAGATGAGTGCTCAGAAACTTCTTCAGGAATATGTTCCTGGAACAACGTCACATTTCTGATTTCTTAACGTTGACGACGATCTTAACCCTTTTATTTATTGCCTTTTTCTTTTTAATGGCAGGGTATGTTGCGAAATCTAACTCGTATGAAATGCTGAGATATTTGCAAAACTCCGGACCGCAGGTGTATGCGGTGGGGAACGAACACGCACTATTCTCCTTTCCGGGGAGTAACGCGTTCACCACCACACCAACCGGGTCCTTCGTTTTACCTGTCTCTCAGCTAGTTCTATCGATCTTTTTCTATTGAAGAACTAGCTGAGAGACAGGTAAAACGAAGGACCCGGATGGTGTAGTGGTGAAGTGCGCTGCTCCCCGGTAAGGACAACAGCGCGTGTTCGTTCCCCACCGCATACATAGACCTGCGGTCCGGAGTTTTGCAAATATTGATTGACGATATTACATTATTGACGATGATATCAATCTACACTAGCATATTATCCACTCACTGAATCCATACAAAACAACTGCTTTTAGTGGTTAAGGATTTCTCACAATACCAATTAAGCACAACTAAACATTTACTGCGCTTCCGAAAATGTTGCAATACTTGAAACAGAGTTAATTGCTCCCTCATTTCACTTTAACCTAAATTGTAGATTTCAGCATCGATCACATAGCGTTGATCAGTATGCAGTAAGTTCGAGACTCATTTCCGACTACCGATCAATACAGCAACACAAGAAAAGAGAACCTTGGGAAGTTAGAAGACCTTACAAGCTTACATCATTCATGAGGAACGATCAAGAAGTAGTACAAATCAATAGGTAAGCGGACGTCATAATTAATTTGGATTATTTCTGCAAAACATGCGTTACAATTGTCAGGCTTAAAAACAAGAATGAAGGAAACTGGGTGACGATGTTCCTCCAAACCACCCATTTAAAACATTTAACCACACATCTGGGTATGCCTTTCGCAACGAATTAATCAGAGTCAGCTAAGACAAGGCGAAAATGTGAAACTGCTGGTGTTACTCAAAAGTATGAAGAAATGCTGAACACATGTTTGAAATGATACAGATACACTTATTGCTTAGTTGCCTACAAATGTCAAGAACTACAGTAGGACCAAGTTATCAAGAACAAACACTTGAGGAAAACAGTTTCTGTATACTATTAAGCATAGAACATACTTTTTTTAGAACATGATAATAACTTAATAACAACATCTGTGAAGTTGGGGAAGCTTCTGAGAATAGAACCTAGAGGGCAAAATAAACCACTGGAAACGCTATATATTGTCCAAACTGGTACATAATTTTTTCTTTGGATTTAGATCAGGTGCTTTGTGTAGTATTGCCTTAAAAAGGAAATCTGACCCATTGATACAGGTATAATTCATAAATGACTTATTCCATGGAGTACTTGTCATATTTCTCATTTCTCTTTTCTGCTGTTCATTATGTCGCACGGAGTTCCTTGTTGGATCTTCCACATTAATTCGATAGCCTACCACCCAGATATTCCGCTACCGTGGAACGAGAAGGCTTATATTCTTCACAAACCACTTTTCGGAGCACTTAGATACATTATACACGCTATATATCCGAACTTTATACACAAAAACGAAAACACATTACAATAACAATTCTTTCGAGTAATATTTTTGCATGTCAAATCACCACAACCTATCACCCACATAACAAACACTTTTAAGTAGCATTTACATAGAGTTTTAACCACTATGGCTACAAAACCTTTGCATTTTACAATTCTCATATACAATTTTACAATCCATCACTTCTATCGTCAGTTTTTTTGCGGCAGTTCTCCAAATATTCCAATCAAAAACATGCCCTCCATTGGCTGCATCTAATTCGCACCTACTTAGGATATATTCCAGCAGATTTAACCGAAATGTCGTTAGCTCGACTACGTGCCCAGAAGTCACCAAGACTTCTATCTCTCCAGGGTCGTCAAATTGGTACCAGACTTGCCTAGGAGGATAAGAACTCTGATTTGATACATTGTATAGGCCAGTTGTATAACGCAGATATACACTCAGTCATCTCTAATGATGCCTGAAGAAGCCGAATGCACGGAGTATTCCTCAGCGATTGGTCAATGTTGAACACTTTATTCTGCACCCTTATCAGCGAAGCCGAAACCAAATGCTAACACCAGTATAGTTGGGTGGTGGACAATTTTTTTCATCATAGAAAAATTGAGAATTTTTAAAAAGCATGGGTATGTAGAATATCTCAAACAATACGAAGAATGAACGCGTTTCTTCATCTCTGTAACAGCATTCACTGCCTTCATAAACCATTCCTCTTTTGCCCGTATCTGCTAGTTCATCCCCGCGATACACTTCAGAACTTTATCGACAGTTAGCACAAAAGACATTATTGGTACAATCTCGACTAGCAGTTAATGGAAAACGGAACATAATTCATTTTCAACCGATCTGGTTCAAACCTATACAATTCAATTTTTACCAGCAACTGATTGTTGGTACATTCTCTAACAGTGTGATGACACGAAAAGTTCGCATGGAGTCGATTGGTACAAATAAAAACATTATGAACACCAAAACATGCCTCCCGAACTTCACAAAGCAAGTAGCGTAGTTGTAGTGATCCCGTTCATTTCGCAGACCGTACAACCATGTCAACCTGTAGCTCGACCAAAACCCTAACTCATTCAACTTCTTATTCTACTGTGGTAGGAAAATTGGTGCCAGATTTGTCTGAGAACAGTTCGTTCACTCCAATCCGAGGGGATAGGCTGCAACCCTGTTATCTCAGGACCTCACAGAGAATCAACTCTACCAGCATTCTAGAATATTCGTGAAGTATGCGAAAATTCCTCAATAAACCCGGACACTAGCTATAAAAGTTCGAAGATCTTTGTGTATGGTGGATGCGAGGAAACAAATGGGATAAAACATTACTGGGATCCACACAGTACATGTGATGTTGGATCATATAATAATAATAAAAAAGTACCCTACAAAATCCTACCGAAGACTGACAGCAATGGCGAATGAGTCCTTTCATTCGTACTAGAGTTAGATATGTCACATGAGTATAAAATCATGTAAAAGAGAACAAAAAGGCTACGTGGAACATCGAGACAGAAACGAGCGCAAAACATGTGGGAAAAAATTGGGTTATAGAGCGAGAAGCACAACAAAAAGGGCGGGTTTATCCGTTAGAAGCAGGCCGAACTCATGAATTACATATGGCTCACACCATGTGCGGCGAAAAATCAGGAGTCAGCAACTAAAGATGAAGTGCTAGTATTGATTAATGGTCCAATAATTTTAGCAACTTATATACTGTATAACGTTATTCCGCTGTTCGCATGATGAGAATACTCACTTGCTCGGATGATTGGATGGCCTGTCCTCACTGGTTGAGCAGACCCCAGCATAATTTCCACCTTTTCGAAGTTTTGCTGGTTTAGCCACTGTGGTTCCCTGGAGTCCCGAGGTCAGCATAGCCAAAGTCTGCCCAAGGTGGTCACCAACACACGCAGTCACTTCCCTTGTGGATAAGAGGGAAATTTGATTCCATGCGACTAGTTCAATATCAGAAAAGTGGGGAATCTTGGTAATGGTTTACTCTTAGCTGAACTTTCTGATGGAAACACCGGACTCCCTCTAAGCATGGGAGTCCTTGTCGGAGAATGGATCCCCTAATAAGAATACTGATACTAAACTGAAAAACAATACAGATAAGACGAAAAATAAGTAACAAAGCAATACACTCTACTAGTATTTCAGAGAAGAAGCGAAACGCCCGAACACTGTGGTGTTTGACCGACATGAGCAGCCGATAGCAAGATCTCTACACGCCCACGCCTCTATAGACTACGAGATGAGCATGAAAGAATTCGACGAAGAGTCATACTATTCACCACGATCACGTGTACGCAGTACGTACTTCAATCAAGCACCATCAAACATATACTTATCACTTGGTATAGCAAAAGTTCTGATACTGCTTGTGAATTAGTAACACAGTAGAAGTCTAAAGTTGTTCATTCTCCGATAGAATGCAGAACAGTATCGAGTATGAGGACACTGAGTGGTGTTAATATTACACTGTGCCTACCTAATAGAACCGAATAACACATAGACATGAAATGTTACCGGAAGCAGTAAAACACTGGGTTAAGGTTGATTTTAATAAGTAGAGAAACTGTGTACTAGCAATGTTCGCAATGTTCTGTGATATATGTAGAGTAAAAAACACACCTTAGCTTGCCTGGCATAGGAGTGTTCACTTTCAACGAGGACGAGGCTTCCAATGTTTGACTAAAACTTGGTGTAATTAAGCAATTAGGAATCAGCAAAGTGATTAAAGGTAAGAAGGATTAAAGGCAAAGGGTAAAGATCAGTGATTTCAAGACTCAACGTATATACTGCGGCAAGGGAGTGATGACGTGAAGACATGGAATACACAATCTCAAAACTTACATTAACAAGTTTTTCCGCAAAATCGGTTGTATGGAAGTTGAATAAGGTAACCGAGCGATCAGAAAGCGATGTTTTTAACTGCGATCGCGCATGCAGCAATCCCCGAATGAGTGCTGCAATATTGAGAAAGTACATTTAGCAGCAAATTATATTACAATTAGTATATTAGTACTAGTATATTACAAAGTGCGCGTGTAACAGTGGTCGGAGGCGCCCTGCAACACACATGGGAACGATCCATGCACCCTAGGCCCACCAAGCCTTCTATCCTTCAGGTCGGCAAATTGCTACCAAACTTGTCTGGGAGGATAGCACCAGTGGATCGATACGCTGGTAGGCCACTGCGACTCATTAGAAAGGCCAGATATGCGTTAAATAACTTCCAACGATGCTTATTGAAGTCGAATGTATTGCGCATCCTTCAGGATAGATCAACACCGTGAGCTTTGTTTTATATTGGTGTTAGTATCAGTGGTAAACCTAGTCAAACAAGTTATACCTAGGCTAGGATGTTTTCATGATACAAAGTGCTAAAGACCAGCAATAAACTCACTTAGAGCTCGTCTGGTTGGAGCACATCCGGTGCTCTTCGCCGTTGCTACCTCGTCTGCATGAGCATAGACCTCTTTCTTAGTTAAAATCTTCGGTAGCACATCCTTGTTATGCGGAATCAACTCTTCGATATCCGAAGGCTTGAAATCCGGAGAGTACACTTCATATGGAGTAACAGAAGGAAAGAGTATATGCGACTAAAAGTAAAAAGTACACTAAACAGCATTCCTTCCCATAACGTTGGGAAGAGAAATGTACTTTAGATGCAAAAGAGACCACACCATTTTCGGGACAGTATGTCTGTAGAATTCCCATTTTGAGGGATTTTTAATAAATATAGAGAAAAGCAATTATAATCATAACTATTTTCAGACCAACGAAATCTTAACCTCGGTAGTAAAATAATCAACTTGTTTAAATTGATGAGCTCACACGATGCTGGTAAAATTGTTTTATTCGGCTTACGTTTCGACGTCTTCGTCTTCATCAGAGCCGATGATCCGAGTCGATGGTCCACAGATCCATTCGATGTGTACCACCAACTCGGATCATCAGCTCTGATGAAGACAAAGATATCGAAAGGTTAGCCCAATAAAAAAAAAATCTAACAACCTCTTGTAAGCTCAACGATCTAAACAAGTTGGTTATTATCATGACTCTTTTTATTCCAGCTTGCTCTAAAGACATTAAAATTGAACATGGTATGGTATAAATACTAATTTAAACGTTAAGCTAAACTCCCGCCCTAGCATGTCAAACAAACGCAACGTGAGCATAACTTGTTAAAATATTAGTCACAGTTTGAAGAAACAATGCTGACACTACACTATTTTCATTCCATGACTAAACAACAAACTGTAGCCAATGCAAGCACAATGCAGTGAATAAATAATGCTTTTCAACCGATACCTTAGTATTCAAACACGAAAGAGAAAAACTGCTGCAATAGACGATGGATTAGCTGTGACAAAAAAAGTACGCCAAAATGCAATTAATCACTTTCTATTTATTACCTATTCTTTTTCCATGACAGAGCATGATGTGAAACACAACTACAATGATGCCTAGATATTTTGCATTGTGACCTACACTACAGACTCAGCTTAACTGTGTTCAACGCTGATTTGGACTCGTCAGATCAATCACGTTGACGGGTGATTGCTGATGGTACTGATAGGCAGGAAACTAGCTGAGAGAAAGATGAAAAGGAAGACCCGTATGGTGCGGTGGTGAACGCGTTAGCCTCACGAAAGAGTAGTAAGAAAGTTCGATCCCCGCCTCAAGACGTCTGCTGTTCAGAGTTTTGCAAATATTTCAGCATCATCGTAGTTGTATGCGAAAAATATTCAATACGTCGTGGAAATAAGACAGAATTATAAACTATTAGAAACGGTAAGACTTACATTAAGATGTGGCGATTCCTGATGCTGAAATCGGTTCGTACGAGTATAATACAGCCTCGTGAAACGTGTAGTCATTCCATCCGACTGGCTATAAAGATTAAAAACACAAATAGTGTTTCCGTAAAACCACGTTTTCTGAGCAACGATGGGGAACCACTTCTATTTATGAGTTCCTGTCTTGTACTAGCGGACCGTTCCTCCCAACGGTTTACCGCTTCATCGTGGCTCGAGGTGTTCCTGAGTGTCGGGTTGCGCCAACCCGCGAGGGTATTCATCCCTTGGCAGGGTCTCCCAAGCTGAGGAATCCGGCTTCTCCATCTCCATCAGGAAGGCTAGCTAACAGGATCCACCACCACTGTTCTGGTATAAAACTAGTCGTATAGTGGCAAATCTCCCTCTGATTCACAAGGGTTGGGACTGCTTGCGGTGGTTACAGCATGGGTCAGACTTTGGCTAGACTGACCTCAGGAGTCCAGGGAAATATAATAGCTAAACCACTCCGAGAAAATAGAGAATATGCTGGGGCCCACACAACCAGTGAGGACGTGCCGTTCAAATATCCAAGTACAATCGCGTTGTCAAAGCACATAGTGATAAGCTGCGTAAACAAACTGGTCACAAAACATAGAACGCTTTCTCTCAAGATTCATTAACAAATCATAATGTGTGGTTTAGGCTTCCTCACGTTTCAAAATAAACGGAAGATGAGAAATAAAATAACGAAAAAAAAACGACCTGTATCAATTATGAAAAGATTGGTAGAGGAACCCTAACACCTTGCTGTAGCTGCTCATTTGGACCATATTTGTATAAATGTGCTGTCAAACCACTGTTAAAAAAACACCCTTTTAAGCAAACATATATCTAAAAACGTATCAGCATAGAATTTGCAAATACGACGTCACAGCATCCAGTAGCATCATTCTGTGCTCTTTCGGTGATTGAATATTAGTGCTCATTCCGTCTTCTGATAATGTTATTGATGACCCAATAGAATCTATTCGTATTACTGTTCGCTCACCATCAGGATGTGAAGTCACTCGACCAGAAAGGTTCCTCTGAAAATTCCTCTATTGGACAACGGTAGCATAATAATAATCATAATAATAATGACGTCCACCAGAAATTCAGAGCACACAGCACAAAATTAACCTTTTGAAGCGCCTTTATAACTGCATCCGTTGTGAGTTGCCCAGTGTATTTCGGGCGAAGTGCTCCAACTTTCTTCTTCGCAGGCTATAAGGCACAAGTTGAGAAATGAATTAATTAGACCATATATGTTTCATGGACTCGTGTAGCGCAATGACCCTGCACATAGGATGGATCCCTGCGGCCCAGGCCCACCAAGCCCTCCATTCTTCCGAGGTCGGCAAATTCGTAGCGAGCTTGTCTGGGGGATAGCAGCACTGCTTCGATACATCGGTAGGCCACCATGAATCATTTTAAAGCCAACATATGCATTCGATCACCGATGCTTAGTAAAGTCGATTGCATGGCACATACTCAGGGATTAATTATACGTCAGGGCATTTAAAATAGCATAAGAAACGAGTGAAACACGTTGAGAAAAAGAGTATGGAAGGGCGAAAACGTACAAGAAGTTCATAGGCATCATCGTATGCACATAACAAACCCGACAATGGAGCGACACCTATCTCAGGATTAGCATAATGACCGCGAAGCTCCAATCGTTTGATTACCTGAAATAGGAGAAAATAAAGTAGAATTCAGATTTATCACCAATGGAAACTAACTGATATGCTATAAAAACCTAGACCTATGGAGCAAGGGATCTCAATGCTATCAATTAAACAGGATTCCTCACATCAGAACTAATTTTTATCTTCCTCTTTCTTAACTTTTTAGACGGCAACGAAATCGATATCTGCTCGTCGTATTTCATTGGCAATATGGAGTTCTGGAAAACGAATGCTGATAGATTAAAACGGCAAAACTGGGGATCTGGACGGAAGCTGTTGCAAGAAAAAAAAACAGTTACATAAATGAACTCACGTATTGCACAAGGAACTCAATACGGTTATGAGTTGGTGACTTGGAGTTATGACTTAAAGAGTACACATCGGGTACAATAAGATTCTGCAATACAAAACCCTCAAAGTTTCTCATAATAAACATTTCTATGAACAGTTGCAAAAAATATCGCCCTTGCACCTTAACCTCTTCCCAAAAGCAGTACCCATTAATAAATTCTCAAAACAATGACAAAAACCATAACTATTTTTTAATTTTTTAGAGAATTTTTTATAAAGGACGATTCATCATATATTGTGTAGGTCGAAAGCGTTCTTCCCCTCGATTTATTCTCTCGTATCCAATATTCACGAAGGTTCTAAGATTTGTGCAAGGATTAGGCTGCTGCATGAGGACTAGCTTTTCTCACGAATTTCGTTGAACGTTGGTCGATCATCCTTGGAACCCTGTGATAGTTGTGATACGGCATTACTGGGTGTTCGATACAAACAGACTTCGGCGTCCGTGCATCAGATGGAGTTTTTTTTCCAGAACTGTTACGAACCCACCAATTCTAGAGTAATGAGAGGTAGGTGCGCGTACTGAGCAGCACAACTACCACCGCGCTGTCCACACCACCTTATCTTCAAATACTGTACTCCAACTTATCAACGGCACTTAATAATAACTATGACTAAAACTAAGAAGGATGAAAAAAAAAGATGGTCATTAAAGCCGTTCGGTTATAAACTCAAGTTGTCCTTCCCATATATTTCATTCAGTGCTATTTACTAGCTAGGGTACATAAACCTTTAATAACAGGCGACAAATTTTCGATAGCTACAACTAGTTTAGTTTGAAACTTGACATATTTAGAGACACTGCAGAAGAAGCGTTGCTGTACCGTCTCAACGATATAATTTTTTACAAACTAGTTCCTTATTTTTATGATTATTCAATGGTAAAATTTGAAAAGAGGTGAAGCGAAATGTAAAATTTCAAAATATTCGCTTCATAAAATCTGAATCTTGCTCATAGAGAGGAAAATACTACAATGGGCTATATTCCTGAGTATTTCTACAACTTGACTTGTGAATTTGCAGTTAGTCACAGAGACAGATACTAAGGCGAGTAAGTACGACTAGAACGTGGGTTGTGAAAATTGTCCCATTTGGATTCGTATGGACTTATAGGTAATGAGTCGAAATATCAGAGTTATTTCAACCACAGCCGCAGTTTAAATAGGTTCAATGCTGATTTGCGCCTTCTAGATTGTTCCCGTTGATGGATGATTGCCGATGGTACGTTAGGGTAAAAATGAAAACTACCTGGGAGAAAGGTAAAGCATGTCGTTCAATAATTATAAGACCCCGGATGCTCGCTCTGATCTGTAAAAGCTGGTGAATGACTATGGTAACAATATGGGAAGACATTAACAAGGCTATCCAAGGATATAAGAGAAAGTCGACTCGACCAATATTTAATGGCATTCATAAAGAAAATTAGAGCACCCAAGCAGCACCGAACTCATACGGAAAATCCGAAGACCTTGGTGGAATATGAGAGAAAACGAATCTAATGGAGGAAGTACTAGAATCTGCACGATATGTGGTGCTGAACCGTTTTGCGCGCAGGATGTTCTTCAAGGAAAAGTTACTCTATTCAAACGATCTGTGTAATTAAGCGTACAAATATCCCCAAACGCCCTCCCTTCAAAACCATTGTAACTTGCCGTAAATTACGCTTCATAGAGACGAAACCAGAAAGATTAGAAAATGGAAAGTTGAAACGAAGAACCCGCATGGCGTGGTGGTGGACTCGTTAGTCACCGGAAAGGATAAAAACGTGTTCTGTCGCCACTGCAGACACCTGGGATCTGGAGATCTGCATCTCGGCATCACGGTGATTGTCTACTTAATTTCACATCAATAATGCCGATTCGGATTTACAAAAACCTCATAGCGATATCCCGAAATACATAATGAAGGAAGTTTACAGCTCCTAAGATTATATTAGGAATATCTGCACTATTTAACCACAGGAGTTGTGAATCGAACTAATATTCAATGAGATTTTCATATGTCAATACTCACTTTTGGTTTAAGCTCTATTGGAAGCAATGTTGAATTGAGTTGAGAAAACTCCAGTCTCGTCTCAATCGGATAGTAAAACGCACGTATAGCTAATTCTTCATAAGGTCTATATACCTCATTAAGCGGATAATCGGGATCTATAAGATTTCTAGTGTTCTTTAAGAAATTCTTGCCCGACAATGACTTCAAAAAAGAAAAATCTGTGAAAAGAAGACTATATCTATCAACATACGAACAATGGACACACCAGTCATTATCAAAGCATTCTTCGAGTCGTTTCCCCACATTTCTAAAAGATGTGGTGCATCTCCTAAGCGCAACGATGGATGACCAGTAAAAACCTGATAGAAGTTTCTACAAACTAAGATGTAAAAGACTTAAAGACTTAAAAAATCATAGAGATTTAAAACTTAAAGATTTAAAGATGAAGTATGAAGATTGAAAATAGAAAAACTTACAACGCATGGTGTCTTGTATTCTCGACAAAACGATTCATAGATATTACTATAGAGTTTGAGTCTTCCATTCCGAACTAGCTGTAAGAGCAACTTATTCAGAGTGGTTGAATAACATTAAAAAGTGGAATTCATGTAAACACAGCAAAACCAACAGGAACCTCGTAGAACAGCACCAGAAGAAAGAACTCTGTGTTTTTGAAGTTTCTGTTGCAGAAATCATGCAACTAATACTATCATAAGGTCACTGTAATTCACTGTACTTAAGTCGTCGTATTATTATGCTTCGTATTATCTAATAATGATACAGAATTCTGCAGAGTTGATTGTCCGGATAAACAAATTAACTACCACTGGACAGTCAGGACTATGAGTAAGAAAAATCCTGTGTATAAGGGCATCTCCGGCTGAGTATGGCTCATTCGAGAGATGTTCCACTATAGAAGATCCGGCTGGATGCGCGACGAATACACCACATCGAGAAGATGAGCGACTGTGGACATCGACTCGGATCACCGGCTCAGAGGAAAACGAAGACGGCAAAACGTTAGCCGAACAAATATTGGTAACAACCTCGTGTTAGTTTACCAATGAAAGAAGGTACTACTATAAGGCTTTAAACTTCCTTATTTGTAATAAAACGGCTTTTTCCCCGTTTACAGTTTGAGCTTCCGTGGTCTCCTTAAACACAAGAAACTAAGAACAAATTTGCCGACCCCTAAATAATAATAAATAGTGGACTATCTGCATCTCCAACACAGGAATCATGGATAGATTGACCTACTTTGTACTACTTGCAAATGAAAATTACCCCTTCCAATGCGTTTAAATTGTTCAGCTTACACGAAGTTGATAAGTAAACTTTATTCGGCTGACGTTTTCGTCTTAGAACCGTGAAGACGTCGAAACGTTAGCCTAACAAAATTTACTTACCAGCCTCGTGTAAGCCCAAAAATTTAAACACATGTTGATTTGTCATACCGAGGTTAAAGGAAAGTCCATCTTGAAATACACTAACCCGACCCCTATTGATTTTAAGTAACAGTGCTGGCCAATTATAACCTCTACGTGCGTCACCATGCACATACTATTTCCTCAGTATGACCAAAAGAAACTATAAATGTCGACAGAAAAGACCAGACGAAATACAAATTGCTACCCAATTAGCTCCAAACGTCCTAAAACATATAAGAACTTAACTTCCTGTAATCTCTATAACAGGTAAGATATCGGTCCAAACAATCGAAAAATTATACGCTGTCTGTGTTTGTATGTTTGTATGTAAAAATGTATGCTGTTTAAAAACCTCGCGATTGCTGAACAAGAAAACGACACAATCGAAAAATTCTTATAAATTGCTACACCACCATGAACCTACAGTGCTTATCAATTCTGATGATAACAAAGTTGACTAGTTCGTAGTTCAAAACTTACTGCTATGTGACAAAACGGTTCTTCTGGAACATATACAGCATTTTGTCTTGATTCCGATAACCACTCAGCGTTTACATTCGAATAAGCCAAAGCACCCTTGGCAACAGGCGATATGAAATAGATGCGTGTTTCTAGAATGGAGCCTCCCTAAACAAACTGGCTTAATGAAGAACATCGGCTAGGTAAAGAAACCACGTAAAGAACCAACAAAACCACTCACCGCATTGTCTATACTCCTAGAAACGACATCGATTAAATCAAAAATGGATCCAACAGGATTCACAGGCATCAAAACATTTCCTCCTCGTTTTAACGTGTCCAAAACCGTTTGAGATACTTCAATTATAACGCTCTAAGAAACCATACAATGAAAAACTTCGTTAGGCCTTCGAACCTCCATTTCAGTGCAAGTTAATAAACTATAACTTTAGAAAACTTAACACTAGCGGGTCAGCCGCCAAAATCGACAATGCAATCGAGGGCACCACCGTGTAATGTGCGATAAACCGCCATATTCAGCTGGTTTGCTTTAGGAGATATGTAGTACGAGAAAAGAAACCGGAAAAAAACCATTCGGGTGCTTCAGAAGCCTAATACTTAACTGCTGTGGAATTTTTCCTTGCCTCGTAGGTAAATATGTCCAGATTCTAATGATTTCCACTTCAACACTTCAATTAAAGAAATTCAATAGAAACAGTCGTGTCTAGATTTTATATTGCAATATATTCCCAGACGGGCGCGTGTAGGTCAGTGGTCGGATGCGCTTTGCATGACAAATGGGATCGATCCCCGCGCTCTAGGTTCACGACGCCTCCTATCCCTCCGGTGCCGGCAAACAGGTACCAAATTTGTGTGGGAGGATAGCAGCACTAGCTCTATACACCGTTCGGCCACTGCGAGTCATTGTACAGACCAGATACGCATTGAGTCATCTCCAACGATGCTTAATGAAGTCGAATGCATTGCGCATCCCTCAGGGACTGATCAACTCCGAGAGCTACATTTTTACCTATTTTAACATATTTTCTGCAAGAAGCATCCCATAAATGGGATTCACTGTCGTCAAAAGATTAAGAAATAATTTGAAATGACAAAAAATTCAGTCTCTGACTTCGAGGCTTAGTTCTGGTGTTCTTCCCAACGATGTCAAAATAAGTGCATCAGCATCTTGAAGTTTCTCCCATTCAACGGATCGTGAGTGAGTTGAGCGAGTGGATGACGATGTGAGATATCCCACCTGATGGACGAAAATGTTAGCAAAAATCAACATATTTTTAAAGTAACATATTTTGCTGATTCTGAACTTTAATTTCAACCTTCCTCCGAACGGTTACCGGCGTCATCGTAGATAGTAAGTGTTCTTGGGTGAAAGGCTGCGATGTACAGCGGAGGCGGGGAATTCATTCCCCTAGGAAGGTCTCCCAAGCTGAGGAGTCTGGCGTTTCCATCAAGAAGTCCAGATAACAGTAAACCAATACTAGGGTCCACCACCATCATGGTATCAAACTAGTCGCACGGTGGTAAATCTTCTCCTGATCCACAAGGACCGACTGCCTGTAGTGGTGACGATCTGGGGCAGACTTTACCCAGGCTTACCTCGGAACTCCAGGGAACCACAGCGACTATACCAGCAAAACTGCGAAAAGATGGAAATTGTGTTGGTGCCCGCACAACCGGTGAAGACGGGCCATCCAAGTATCTAGGTATCAAAGTAATCTCAATTTTCAAGTCAGTTTTGAAAATCTAAGAACCAACATATCTCACCACAAATTTACTTAACAGTTTTAACCTACGCGCTCGTATTCCGTTTTAAAAACCCAGTTCGATGAGCCGATAGAGTACCCACTTGGACAAGCCAACACCGAAATTCCTCCTTCGAGATTCTAAAAACTACCAAGCACTTCCATTTAAAAAAAAGTAAAAACTAAACATGAATAAAGCATTGAGGTAAAATAAAGGTTTTCCACGAAAGTGAACGTGTAGCGCAGTGGTCGGAGACGATTTGCAATGTATATGGAAGAGATCCACGCGCACCGGACCCACGAAGCATTCCATCCCTCCGGGGTCGGCAAATTGGTACCAGACGTCTGGGAGGATAGCAGCGCCGGCTCGATACATCGGTAGGTCACCGACTGTTATCGTAAAGCCCAGATATGCATTCAACCACCTCCAAACGATGTTTAATGAAGTCGAATGTATGGCACATCCTTCAAAGATTGATCAACGCCGAGAGCTTAATCCTTTTACTATTGCACGAAAATTCACTGCAACGAAAGGACACTCACAATAGGTTGATTGAAGGACACCGTAGTGATGCGCTGTAGGGCTTGCTCCATTACATGCTTCGAATAAAATTGCATCCATTCCAAAGGATTTCTAGCGGGAGCATTGGCAAATGCACTAGAAATAGAGTAGTGATATACTTTTTTCGTTGGCTACTGAAAATGGTGCTGAAAACAAGTCCATTTATTTGTCGTTTCCTGTTGAGCAATAGCTAGGTTCTTAAGCAGCATACTGCGTAGAGAAGACGACAAAACAATCATCTACATATCTGCAGTAGAATAGTGGCCGGAGATCGGTAACAAGGCTTCTATCCTAGACATAAACACAATGGCAAGGCTTAGTGCCAATCGCTGTCCCATTGCCAACCCCCTTATTTGCGCGAAATATTTCCCAGACCATCTGGAAATCGAACAGGATAAGGATAAATGGATAAATGGACTCATTTTAGTTTACAGTTTAAGTTTACAAGGAGAACGACGCGCCCACGCGAAACACTTGGCCAAAAGAAAGTCCCGTTCATGCTGCATTTTACAAACGATGAAATAAGCGTAGCTATAAAACGATGCTTAAGAAGGGCAAGTCTAGAGGAATCGGTAGCGATAGTTGAAATACCACCGGCTACTCTACGTCGCCAATTAGTTCGCAACCGCCTGTATGACCGTCTGGGTGAAACAACAAATTGCGTAATTTGTCCTTACGGCAGGGACGGTGATTGCATGAGTTCAGGTACGATATACCTGATGTCGTGTAACAATTGCGGAGATGAATATATTGGCGAAACGGGCAGACCTTTGTGTATCCGTATAAAAGAACATCTAGATGGCAAACGAAAACTAATACGAAGCACCCCACTAGGCACGCATAGGATACAAAAGCATAGCGGAGACGATTTTGAAGTGAAAGTCAATATCCTTGCACAGGAGTCCAAAACACCAGCGCGAAAACTCCTTGAGGCTTTTTGGATCAATGCCAAAAGCCCTACAATGAATAGCAGGGACGAATGCCCGGAGGTCATACGCGACCTGACCCCGTATGTTCGCATCGATTTTTGATGTGGGATGGTGCAGTCGTCAACCACATGCGACTATAATCAGCTGTTCTAAGCTTCCNCCTTACGGCAGGGACGGTGATTGCATGAGTTCAGGTACGATATACCTGATGTCGTGTAACAATTGCGGAGATGAATATATTGGCGAAACGGGCAGACCTTTGTGTATCCGTATAAAAGAACATCTAGATGGCAAACGAAAACTAATACGAAGCACCCCACTAGGCACGCATAGGATACAAAAGCATAGCGGAAACGATTTTGAAGTAAAAGTCAATATCCTTGCACAGGAGTCCAAAACACCAGCGCGAAAACTCCTTGAGGCTTTTAGGATCAATGCCAAAAACCCTACAATGAATAGCAGGGACGAATGCCCGGAGGTCATACGCGACCTGACCCCGTATGTTCGCATCGATTTTTGATGTGGGATGGTGCAGTCGTCAACCACATGCGACTATAATCAGCTGTTCTAAGCTTCCTCATTGGAAGTCACGAAGAAGCGGTGGGTTTTTTCGAGAAATTGTTGATCGTGTAATCTCTTCCTTCTCTTTTTTCTTCTTTCGTCTTTTTGTAAGTGTTATTGAAGCGTTTGGCCTAGTAGATTGTATATCAGAATACCCTTCCAGGCTCTGAAGAAGGCGATACTGCCGAAACGTCAGCTAGCGTTGTATTGTATTGTGTTTTTTATGGAAGTAAATGTATGCTGTTTAAAAACCTCGCGATTGCTGAACAAGAAAACGACAGTCCATTTATATTTTTAAAGAAAAACGAACCAATAAATCGATGGATCCTTCCACTTTTTACCAATGTCGTCTAAAACTATTCTTTCGAAATATTCTATCAGTTCTAATATCATCAATCTAAATAAATGTAAGATATAAATGTTCGGCTATCTTTTACAACAAGCAGATGAAAACAACCTCACCTCCCAAACTGCACAACAGGCCCCGTTGTGTATATGGTTCCTCTGAATCCCGAATTATTAACATAGAACGGAAGCGCTACAAGTGACTGCCAATTAGAAATCAAAATATAATCCACCATGTTCATTGGCAACGTATCCAACTGTAAAACAAAGATATACATCTAAGTATCAGCAAAACTAATCGATGTTAAAGTATAGACAATCTAGAGATATAACCACAATTATGCTGAGATATTTGCAAAACTCCGGACCACAAGTGTCTGCGATTGCGATTGAACCCGCCACTACTCCTTCCGGGGATGTGTTCATCACTACACCATACGGATCTCTCGTTTCGTCTTTCCCAATATATACATAATTTTCGCAAATAGGAAGGATAAAGTGAAAATGTTGACAGCATAATTTCTATTTTTTTCGGAAGTTTTGCTGCTTTAACTATTGTGGTTCCCTGGAATCAGGCAATCAATCTAACCAATGTCTGCCCCAGCTCATCACAGCCACAGACAGTGGCCGGGCATGTGGATCAAAGGGAGACTTGCTAGCGACTAGTTTGATACCAGGACGTTGGCAGATCCTGATATTGATATATTCTTAGTCAAGCTTCCTAATAAAAACGCTGGACTCCTCTTCAGCTTGGGAGACCTTGCTCAGTGATGAATCCTACCGCCGTTGTACATCACGGCCCGACACCTAGCAACACCTCGCAGCAACGGTGATGCGGGTGGTGAGGATCTAATCTACAGATATTGCTAATTGATATACAGATAATCTTGGCAAATAAGATGGGTTAAGTGGAAATGTCGATAGTTTATGCTTGGCGATCTCAACTATTCGTCTAAAAATGGTTGATACAAACATCGGTGGGATAATATACAAATCAAATATATCACAATAAAAGTGCAAACCAGCATCATTGAAGACATGAAACATTACCACAAAAGGTAAACGGATTCAAACTCGTAGTAGAAAGTCATGGACAAAAATACCTGTTCAAAAACGTGTTTGGAAAAAAAGAATGAGAAAACAAGGCAAGCTTGCAAATAAAACAAAACGAACCGGTATCGGATGGACCTCGGGGACACCTTCTATGAAGACATTATCATTCAACATTTTTAGGTATGAAAGATCATCGCGAAAGGAAGGCAAGCATTTTAGTCGTGACCTAAAATGCCAAAGAAATCCTTCCAAACTAAATCCGTAAACACATATGTTCCATCCTTCACATGCGGCAATTGAATAATATAGGCATGAAATAAAATCGTAAAGCTAAAAGCTTTGAAATGACGATCTTAACGTTGATCAATTTCTCAAGGATGCACCGTGCATTCGACTACATTAAGCCTCGTTTGGAGGTGATTGCATACCTGGTCTTCACAATAACTCTCGATGGCCTACCGATGTATCGAGCTAGCGCCGCTATCCTCCTAGATAGGTATGGCACCAAATTGCCGACCAATCCTCCCAGACAAGTCTGGTACCGCGGATGGATGGCTTGGTGAGCATGGGGCGTGGAGACCGAACCGATGTGCAATGCAGAACGCCTCCGATAACTGCGTTACACGCACTGGCGAAATGAAATCTTACGGACACAAAGTCTTACCTCTCATCATATAGATGAGGTAGAAAGTGGTTGAACGATGTGAAATCAACGGCACAGTCAAGTAATACTGTCACGTTTTGAAATCGAAGCAAAATACACGGCTTGTGAGGATGCCATGAGAAGCTGGTCTGAAAATACTTGTGTTCTGCAAGCAGTAAAACTTTGCTCACGAAAATATAGTGTACTAAATTTCTAAAACTTAATATAATCCACAGGTAAACCTATGAGCAAATATAATGGGTGGATGATGATAGCATGCTTCTTGACAGAAATCGTCGGTTCTTTGTGCCCCTAGCCCTAATGGAAACGTAAAAAAGCAAATTACTATAAGGACGTAATTTCAAAGATGTTAACTGTCTGCTACAAAAGAATAAGTAACACCAATTCCCCGAATCCAGATCGGTTGAAAAGCTTGGTGAACCTAAGGCACGGGAATTGATCCCATGTGTCCTTATCGAGATGATAAAACCCACCATCGCTACAGAACCAGGACGAATTGCGCAGAAATATAACAGTGATGACATATATGCAGTAGGTTACCCTAGCTTTTAACGTGACAGTCGGGTTTGAGTTCAACCAGGGCGGCTACGCACTATTTTGACCCGTCCCTGGCCTGCCAAACATCTCTTCCCTGCGGGGTCGAGAAATTGGTACCAAACTTGCTTGGAAACAGTTCATTCCAGCAATGCATGTGGGAATGCCTTAGTCCAGCTATCCCTGATATCCAGGGAGGAATGATTCGATGAGCTTTCAACGACATTCGTGACGAAGGCAAAAATACTCAAGCAGCAGTCGAATTCACACACAAAAAAAGTTGGAAGAACTTTGAGAATAGGGGATGGTAGAAATCGAATAGAAATGAGATGGTAAGATCCGCACAGGAGATTGAAAACGGGTAATGTGAAATGAAAAAGCAATTGAAAGAAGAGGGTCAGAGGGCCACAAGCTAGAAGTTGTATGTCAATTGACATAATAAAGGACTTATGAATACGAAGAAAAATCAAAGAACCAATATTTGAAAAAAACCATAGAACCTCACCAAATGCATAGCTATCGAATCGTCTCTTCAGAAGTCCTGCACCAGTACAGACGAGCATGACTATGCGTTACTTTGAAATCAACTAGTGCATTGTCCGAACTGCGGACCACACGTTGGATACCACGAAGGGTTTCCCCGTTGTCCACCCGAGGCGCCCATGTTTTTCTTCAGTCACTTTTTCACATGGACTCAGCCACATTGGAAGAAAATCCTGGAAAAATTTCAGATGCGTTAAACGTGAGCTGTTCTATATCTGTATATATATCTTAAGATTCTTTTTTTCGTTCTCAGTTATTGAATTTTTTTTTCCATTTTCTATTTCTATTCTCCTCCATTTCTTTTCCTCAGTATATTTCCTGAGCAAGCACTAGGGGTTACTTTATTCTGTTTTGTAGTAGAGCCGATTCCATCCCCATATACACTTGGAAGTGGACGAATACAAGGTGTAAATACAGCTTCGACTATAGGATACTACACATGTATGGGCGCATGTAGCGCAGCCGTCAGAGACGCCCTGCAATACACCTGGGATTGATCCCGCGCCCCAGGCTTAGCAGAACCTCCATCCCTCCGGTGTCGGCAAGTTGGTACCAGACTCGTTTGGAAGAATGGCAGCATTGGCTCGATACATAGGTATACCGCCGCGAATCATTGTAGAAGCCACATATGCATTCAGTCACCAACGGTGTTACGAATGGAGTCGAATGCATGGTGCATAGCTCGGCGATTGATCAACGCAGAGCTCCATCCTTTCAACCGTTTACGGTAGACCTGACATTTCGGCGTATTTCGCTTTTTTCAGAGCTTAGACCTGGTCTAAGCCTAAACCGAGATTGCCATCGCATTGAAGACAAAATAACTTTTATGCACACTTTTTTTTCTTTTTCTTTTATATTTTGCAGCTTGGCAGTTTTCTGTTTCCATTCTCTACTTTATTTTTTGTAGAGTTCCGTCATAGTTTTAAGCGACAATGAAGGTGTGCACTCTAACGAGTCAGCTGATCTCTTCGACAGCGATGAAAACAGTCGTGACGTCACTGAAGTAAATGGTATTGAACAATCTACATGTTTTGCAACAAATAAGTTGAAGAACGCGACACTTGCAGAAATCGTGTCAAACATAGGAGGCTTCCCGCCAGAATGTGAAGCTTCGTTTTGGGATGATGAAATGAACTTAAACGAGGTTAAGTCTGGACCTGGTTTTCCAGGAGACGGTAACAATGATATGTGCCAGCTAGAGTATTCCAAGCCTTCAGTGAGTTCCATGGAGGTTGATGGCTTTGACGCCTATGTGTATGCTGTTGTTTAGATGGCTGTAGAGTTACGCAATAATTCACATGTAGAAGAAAAGCCATCTGAGTCTTCGGCTTTTCAAAGAGACGGTGAAATGCAGAATCGCCTGGACGTCTCCTTATCCCGTATGCGAGAAGATGGTTCGACAGGAATAAGAAGCTTCGTAAGTCTCCGATTAGGATATTTCCAGCCATGTATTGGACATCTAGTAAGATTCCTTATGCTGCCCACTAACGTTCCTTCTCTTAAGAATCGATACATGCAATTAAAGAAGGACAAACTTCGTTATCAAGTGAACGTTCTTGATCGACCATGTAATGTCGCCTCAGACATCTTTAAAGGAATATCGATTTTTGTTAATGGATATACAGGTTAGTTGGCTTTTCAAAGGCGAACTAAAAACGACTTCATAGTATAGGCAACGTGAAAGGCGAAACGAAGGTTCCGAATGGTGTGGTGGTGAACACGTTAGCCCCCGTACAGACTAATCGCAGGTTCACTCTACACCGCGGGCACCTGCGGTCCGAAGTTTTGCTAAGATCTCAGCGTCATCGTGGTTATATTTCACATCATATCCTGCCATGAAATAAGAATAGGCGCTAGATAAAAAGTGACTACATTGTGATTTCATAGTTGTTCACGTTGAGACAGAGAATGCAGAAAATTTCTCATGTATTACACTTGAAATTGCCAGCACATTGAGAGTTTTAATCATTGTTGCCTTATTAATGCTCTGGTTCCTCGCAAAGGTTTACTGCCTCATCGTGGTTGGATAGTGTTCCTGGATGTAAGGTTAAGGTGTAGATCGGAGGGTTCTTCACCCCGGCAAGGTCGCCTTAGCTGAGAAGGAGTCCGAAGTTTCCATCAGGAAGTCTGGCTAGGAGTAAACCAATGTCAGAATCCACCATTGTACTGGTATCAAAGTCGCATGGTGGTGAATCTCCCTCTGATCCGCATGGGCTGCGACTGTCTGCCATGGTGACGATCTGGGGCGGACTTTGGCGAGACTAACATTGGGACTCCAGGGAACCGCAATGGCTTAATCAGCAAATCTCAGAAAAATGGTGATTATACTGGTGATATCTTGTGGATAGCCTCATTTTCTTGCTTGTAGCGATAATTTTCAGACCCTTCAGCTTTGGAACTTCGCCAGTTAATTCAAGTACATGGTGGAGAGTACCATTGTTATTATGAGTACGGGGTTACGACATACACCATTGCAACATCCTTAGCAAGCGCAAAGGTGAGCATAACTTTGTTTTCAGTAGTGGTATGGTCATAAATGTTTCCTTTCTGAGGTGTCCAAAACGCGCCGAGGCGAAAAACTCGTGAAACCCGAGTGGATCATTGACTGGTTAGTGTTGTTGAAGTGATTTTCTATTTTCAGATATGAAATAACAACAATATTACAGTATCGCGGCCGGAAAATTGTTGAAGGTAGATGAATATCTCCTTTTACCTACTCAGAAGAAAGGGTCCATAACTGCAGCACTTCGCAAGAAAACTGCCAGTGAAGGTGTGTTCTTTACTGGGTTACGTACCAAGACTATTGAGAATGCTGTTTCAGAAAGTGTATGTGTAAAATGTTGGATGTCACGGTGACTTTAGTCATTCTACCTTTTATCATAGTGGAGAGTGTAGCGCAGTGTTCGGAGGTGCCATGCAATACACATAGGATCGATCCCTGCGCCTCAGGCTCACCAAACCCTCCGCCCTTCCGCGGTCGACAAATTGGTAGCGGACATGTCTGGGAGGATAGCAGCACTGGCTCGATACATCGGCAGGCCACCGCGAGTCATTGTAAAGGGGAGATATGCATTAAATCACCTCAAACGATGCTTAATGAAGTTGAATGCATGGCGCACCCTCAGAGATTGACCAATGCCGAGAGTTTCATCTTTTATTCTTTACCTTTTATCATTGGCTGGAAGTGGAGAATAGCCATCTAGAAACACTTAAAATCCAATGCCCAATTTTTCGACTTTTTCACTACGAGCTATTATTGACTCATACCGGCCGTCGCCTGCTGTGTGTATGTTGAGATACATTGACGTGTGAATATAAGTGTTAAACAACTGACTGAAAGCTGATTTCTCGTACATAAATATAATAGGGTTTACTTCGTCAGGTCTGGAAATAGTTTCCATCATGTTTTGGTTTGTTTTCGTTTAATTTTGAAGGGATTATTCAAAGAGTGGGGCGGAGTTTGTTCGAGGTATTTTTTGAAGTAACTGTTTTGTTGTTTTAATCAAACCGTTTCTTCCGAAAAGTTCTTGGTAGCATTGTCCAAAAAAGATATCGAATTGTCGGCAGGATTTGCTCAAGGGTGGCTGTGAGACACTTAGTAAAATTGGAAGAAATATTGCGTTTTGAAATGCGTAATAATAGAAGAATAGTAAAAGAAAAATAGAGTAGAAAATTAGTAAAAGAATAATATCGTTCTATTTTTTCTATCTTTTCTTTCCTTTTTTCTCCTTTCTCTTCTTTCTTTCTTCCCTTTCTTTCTCCTTTTTTTCTTACTTCTTTCTTAAAAGACAGCGGCTACGTAATCGTTAATAATAATTGAAAATTTGAACTAGTGGGATGATAATCACGTGGATCAAACGAGAGGTAGAATTCCACATGAACATAACGTGATTATTTGTTGCGAATGACGACATGGACTTCATTACAGAAGCTGGTGGAGAACCTCGCATTTTCGATGCACGTGATCCGAATTTTTTGGAAGAGTACTACGCAAGGTTGCAACCTATTGTTATTATTTCAGTTCCTTTTTTATTCTTAGAATTAGAAGTTCTGTGTCCAGAAAACATGAGAACTTACTTTGTTGGCTACTTAGATGGCCCATTTTCAATGGTCGTGCAGGCCTCAGCATAATTTCCACTTTTCCTAGTTTTGCTGCTTTAGCCATTATGGTTCTCTAAAGTTCTGAGTTCATCCTAACCAAATTATGCCGCAGGTCGTCACCTGCACGTACAGTCGCCGTCCTTGTGGATCAAGAGATTTGCCACTATGCGACTAGTTTTATGCAACGACGATCGTGGACCTAGGTATTGGTTTACTTTTAGCTGGGCTTCCTGATGCAAACGCTGGACTCATTGTCAGCTTGGAAGACCGTGATTGTGGGATGAATCCCCTCAACTGAATATCGCAGCCCGAAACCCAGGAACACCTCCCAGCCACGATGAGGCGGTAAACTATTCAAAGGGAAAACATAGAAAATGCTTTCGAAATCAGAGTTTGTAGATTTACTATTAGTTTTGCATCTGTAGCAGAAACTAGATGAAGCTTACATTAATACAACCGCATCTGAACTATGATAATGTGCCTAGAGCACTTCCTTTTCTTAAATTTCTGAAGAACTTGTATTGGAGGTTATCACGAATTTTATACCTCAGAAGGATAGTATTTAGCACGACTTGGTAGGACTAATAGGATTTAGAGGAGTTGTTTACATTTTCAATGTTGGGTGAGTCGAGCAGGTGGTAACGTTTCCATTTGTTCTTGTCGCGTTCGAAACTAACCCAGTGACTTCTGGTTACTGTAGGGACTCGCCGAACATGACATCATTCTTCTAAAATTCCTGTGATGAATTTTAATCATCAGGTCGATGGTCTAACTCAGGTGCGTTTGACATACCGACGAATCTAATGAGTGACGGCACTTGTCCAGCGGTTGTTGTTCAGTCGCAGTACATGTCATGTCCACCTGTTTTTTAAGAATTTGACGTTAAAATATCTGTGATCTCTGGTCATTGAAATAGATGAGGAATTCGGATGTTTTCCCACATTTCCATGACAGTGATTATTCCCAGCACCTTTATAGCGACAAAGCGTTCAATAGTTGCCCGTGCTCTTTCATTCTGCCTACGTCACGGCGACATTTCCGTTGCGCACTTTTAAGCAGAAGCAGTCGGTGAATGGAAAAGATTGGTAATGGGAGTCGGATGTTTTGGTTCTATTTCTTTAACCACCCAAGCTGCACGCTTCGTTCTGCTTAGTTAGCTGTGGAGTTAAGTCTTTCATCGTGATGACGTGTCGACCTAGATGCGCATCGCTGTACCATTTCCATGTATTCATACGGTTGAGCGCGAATAGCTTATCAATGGGAAATCAGTTTTGTATGACGGCTGCGTTCCTGAAATCTAGGCGATGAATATGTGCACAAGGGCCGTGGAAGTCGGCTAGCCTTCATTCCATCTGGCTAATGTCAATGGTATAAAAAGATATCATTGGCAAAACAAAAGGATGTAGTTTTACCAATACCGTTGTATAATGGCAATGTTCTGATTGTAAAGTTGGGCACATATTCACTGAAGAATTTTCGTTGTAGAAAAGTTGGGCGTATCGGCCGCTGTCGATTGTGTCCATCATCATCCTGGAAGCAGTGACTTCTATTTCCATGCCGAAGGGCGATCGTCTTAGTTTTGTAGCTGACAATGTTTCGGCGGTCGTTGCCGATTTTTCTACCAAATTTTTTATCTTATAGCGTTTTCAGTAGTAATGCACTCTCGTTTTTACAAATCGTTTGCGGTTTTTGAGTTCTGGGATCATAAAGTGTTTCGCCTCCCAACGGTTTACCGCCTCATCGTGGTTGGGAGGTGTTCCTGGGTGTCAGACTGCGATGTACAGCGGTGGGATTCGTCTCTCCAGCAGGGTCTCTCAAGCTAAGAAGGAGTTCGGCGTTTCCATTAGGAGGCCTAGCTAAGAGCAAACCACTAGCAGGATCCACCACCGTCCTGTTATCAAAGTCGCACGATGGCAAATCTCACTCTTATCCAGCTGCTACTACATGTCGTGGTGACGACCTGGGGCAGGTTTTGGCCAGGCTGCTCTTGAGATTTCAGGGAACCATAATGGCTTGACCAGTAAGTCTCCTAAAAATGGTGATTATGCTGAGGCCCGCACAGCCAGTGAGGACGGGCCGTTCAAGTATCAAGTATCAAGTAAAGTGTTTCGACCAATGACTAATGTGAAGATATCAACTACTAACCTTCAGTCTTATTTAAAGAATTAATTTAATTTGTTCATAGAAACTAATCATTAATGAAGTAGTGAATGTCCTAATATGGAAATGTTGTGTTTACTTTCTTATAAAACTCCACCTCCCAATGGTTTACCGCCTCATCGTGGCTGGAAGTGTTCGTGGGGGTCAGGCTGCGATGTTCAGTAGAGTGATTCTTCCCCTGGCAGGGGTCCCAAGCTGAGAAGGTGTCCGACGTTTCCACCAGGAATCCCAACCAAGAGTAAATCAACACCAGGATCCACTACCGTTCTGGTATCAAACTAGTCGCATGGTAGCAAGTGTGTCTTTCTCTATAATCCACAATGCCGGTAATCGCCTGTGGTGGCGACAATCTGGTGCAGACTTGAGCTAGGCTGACCTCGGGACTCTAAGGAATCACAATGGCTAAACCAAAAAAACTCCGAAAAAATAACCAGTGAACACGGGCAGTCGAGGTTTCCAAGTACAAATGCACTGTTTCAGATCTCGCCTTCATTTAATTTCAACTTTGGCACAAGAAATGAAGGACTATGTGTATGCCATGCGTTCGGACGACACTCATTCCTTCATTGGACTTGATACTTTGCGTTTTCTAATGAACGACAATTATGTTCTGTGTGTTTAGGAGAACGTCATGCGATATGAAATAGCTTGTATATGTTGAATGTGTTGTTAGTTGTAGTTGTTATAGGTCAGCAACACGCACAATATTTCACATTGACCTTGACTGTTTCTTCGTCTCAGTTGCCCTTAGAGATCGACCTGATTTAGTTGACAAGCCAGTTGCAGTTACTCACAGCAAGGTTTCTGTTAAGCTATGATTTTCTAACTTGACATTCTTGGTGGGATTCTCTTCTGTTTCCATCAAATTTGGTGAGCCTGTTGCTCACATGTCACTTACAGGGTGTCTCAAGAGGGTTTTCGGAGTTGGCCTCAGTGAATTACGCTGCTCGTAAATGTGGCCTTAAAAATGGTATGATTGTTCGTGATGCTATCAAGCTCTGTCCTAATCTTGTATGCATGCCATACCTATTTGATGAGTATCGTATTGTAGCAAAAACCATATATACCGTAGTCGCCAGGTCAGTGGTGTAGCTTGTTTTTTTTTCTTTTCTGTAGATTGAGATAGCAAAGGTGATTAAGTCGTGCTTGTTTTTAGGTATACTCTTGATATCAAAGCCGTTTCTTGTGACGAAATGTATATCGACTGCACAGATTTGTTTAACAATGTAGGTTTTTTTTAAGTGTTTTGATTCACCAGGGTTGTGTGTAGGGCAGTGGTCTGAGGCGCGCTTTAATACACATGGGGTTGACCCTGGCGCCACAGGCTCACCAAACTTTCCATCGCTCCGGGTTCGGCAAATTGCTACCAGACTTGCCTGGGAGGGTAGCTGCGCTGACTCGATACATCGGTAGGCCACCAAGAGTCATTGTATAGGCCAAAGATGCATTCAGTCACCTCCAAACGATGCTTAGTGGGGTCGAATGTATGGCGCATCCCTCAGGGATCATTGGTCAACACCGAGAGTTTTATCATTTTATTCTGTTTTATCCCTTTTCGCCTAGGATTTGTTAATTATTTGATCATTCATGTTGTTCAAATGACGTGCAGGCTTGGTTTGTAGTTCCTTAACTTGATGGTTTTGTCTCGAGAGTTGCTCGTCTTTTCTTTAGTCACTTCATTTTACCACCATTATTTTGTCGGAAAACCGCTCATGTCCCTTATTCAGATAAGTTGTGACGTTTCTAAGCAAGACAAGATGGTGCGGAAGTTTTTGCAACGCGAGCGTAAGAATATGCTAACTGTTGTTCAGAAACATGTTGCGTGATTTGCGCGATATCAAAGTGCTAGTTCTGTTTTTATGGGTTTAGCATACGCATGTTTATCTTGAACTAAACTTTTTGCTGGTCCTGAAGATAAGCCGGATGCCAAATTTCTGAGTGTATGGAAGTATCAGAAAGCTTTGGTCGTGTCTTTCTAACAAACAAAGTAACTTCTTGTTAATTATTCACCATTTGTCGCAATAGTCTGTTCGCATGGTATTTTTATGGGGGAAATTACCGTAGATCAGGGAAACATCTATCCAAACTTTCCTTTTCTCTTCGTGTTATTGTCAGTAATTTCTATGCAGCGTGCTTAAGTTCCTCAAACTCATTTAAACAGTTTAAAAATAGGGTGGTTAATGGTAGATGGCTGATCAACTACCATTGGTGTTTTGGGCAAGTTCCACGTCATCGTTTTTTTTTTCATGAGCGGATATGGGACTTGAAAATGCAATAATTTCTGGGTAGAAACGAACCCTTTGCCTTAGTTTCTGTACTTCATTAAATCATTGCAATGTTGATGTAATGAATTCGCCAACGTCCTTCACATTTATGAAGCTTTCTTCATACCGCAACAATGCTGAGATATTTGCAAAACTCCCGACCGCAAGTATTTGCGGAGGAGAATGAACATGCTATTACCCTTTCCACACACGTTCAGCACCACACCATGCGAGTCCTTCTTTTCGCCTGTATTTCAGCTAGTTCTGTCGATCAGTGTCATCAGCAATCATCCGTCAACGTGATTGACCTGGGGATCCCAAATCGGCAGCGAGCCCAGTTAAGCTGAGGCTGTAGTCGAAATCACAATGTTAAATTTTTTCTTGACGTTGACTTCTCAATCGTATTGATGGGTGGTTGCTGATGGCCTGATCGATAGAACTACCTGAGAAACAAGCGAAACGAAGGACTCGCATGGTGTGGTGGTGAACGCGTTAGCCCCCGAACGGGTAATAGCGCGTCCATTCTCCTCCGAAAACACCTGCGGTCCGGAGTTTTGCAAATATCTCAGCATTATTGTGGTTGAGTTGCACATAGTAACTTGCTGTGAAAGATTGTAATAGACAGTAAATAAAAAGATAACGTTGTTACTTACATATAATTGTGCTGTTGGAATAAGTTTCTTTTTCTTGATAGAACTGACAATACTTACTGAAGGCCATAACAAATTTTATATGGAAGAGTGGAGGTTTCCACTGTGTAGCACTTTCCATTTGCGATCCCAAATGCTATCAGTGATATTTCTAGGATCGGTAACGGGGAGAACTGAAAAATGGGAAGGAGGTGGTGTCTGAACTTCCTTATATTTTAACTGGTATTTAAATATGATTTGTAAATAGATAGCGTTGAAGAATAACTGTTGATAACGTTGGTGCTCCGTATTATCGGATTAAAAATGTCAAGGTCGATTTCTGGTGCGATTTGAGAAAACCGATGCCCGGAAATTTGGCATTTTCTCGGTTTCATGTAGTCTCCCTCACTAAGATAACAGGTTTTTCAGTATCCATCTACCAAATGTGCGTTACCATTCTCCTGTTTTCACTCACGACGATCTCATCATACCACCATAACTTTGAAACAAGTTAAAGCTCGGCAAAGAACATTGGAAAACTTGCCGCGCTATGTGGGTTCTGAGGTAGTTTCGTGTATAGATCGGCGTAGGAAGTTGAAGCTGCATCACTCTAAGCAGTCAATTCACATCTGACTCCAAGAGGACTCTTGCCACGGTAAAAGTGGTAGTACTGTGGTCAGTGAGATCAGAGAGTTATTTAACGATAGGTTTTGGGCTTACCTGCTTTTTGGGTATCGGCCACGCCGCACTTCGTTAACTGATGTCCAGCAACTCTTTCTCACTGTGATGAAACAGTATTATTTCCGTGGGGTGTATCAGAAGACAGCGTTAATAGATGCAGAGAGTTTAGCAAGGTCATGTAGTACTAACATATCGCGCTTTTATATTCGTTTATCAGGTGCGGATCAGCGATCCCCAAGCTTTCGCCGAGCATCTACGTGCAGAGATAAGGCAGGAAACCGGATGTCCTGCTTCTGTTGGAATAGGTGTGTTAACTTTATGTTCACGTTTTTAATAGTCCGTGTTACACTTAAGATGAAGATCACCCAGTAGTGTTTATCTTGAATTGGACCCTACATTATCTGCTATAGGAAAAAACGTGCTGATTGCTCGACTGGCAACCCGTCACGCAAAACCGGACGGAGTACGTTTCGTGCTTCCGAGTCAAACTGAATTTTTTATCGCTAATGAAAAGGTATAGTAAAGTTACTTTCTGGATGGAAAACATTTTTATTTTTTTACTTTTGTAAGACATGTTTTCTAATCCACTGTAATACAGGTGAAAAACCTCCCCGGAATGGGATACCAGACTTATTCGAAAATCGTCAGCGTTTTCGGTGTGTTTCATCTTCGCTTTTTTGTTTTAACTGATGAATGGCGACGTAGTCATTTTGAATCTTGCATGCGGAAAATTTTTAATTTAGCTTTTAATCTTTAAAACAAACGTGTCATAGCTCATAATTAACGTTCAACTAAAGTAAAACTCAAATCCTTTATATTGTTGCTAACAAGGTTCAAGTTTGCCTATCATATCACAAAAAAATCCTATCTTCTAGGGACCCAAATTGTCCGTTTTACCTTCCTCTTCTTTTTACCGTGTAGGTTATATTTCGAGTAGAGAATTGCTTGAGCGAATGGTATTTCATGCAGCAGAACCTGTTTATGCTCATAGATATGTCCTTGATGCTATAACTGCCCATTTATATTAAACTCTTAGTCTTCACTATTTTACAAGAGACTAAGTGTACTGTAGCCAAACTTATGCAATCGCTATATCTACCGTTAGGGCAAATTATGCAACTTTACGTTGTTCATAGACGGTTACGGTTCATATAAGCGGGTACGAACAGTTGACACCTTGGGGTGTTCGATTATATTTCAATCACTGTTACAGACTTTTTAAAACCGACCTTTTTTAAGCAACGCTTTGTAGATGTGCTTACTTTGTTAGAAATGAAGGGCGCAGTGAACGGGACCTTATTTCCAGCAGTCGGTGTGCACCATTAAGGAGTGCAAATTCCACTATAATAGGCCTATGAAAATTTCTGGTTTTAAGTGTTTTAGTAACAGAAAAATTGTCAACAGTTGTTGAAGAAACCAGTAGCACGGCGAGCGTATCATTTGAAGGCCTTCCAGGTAATGTTGAGAAATGTCGTGATCTCCAGATGCTCAGTCGAAGCGAATTAGAACGGGTGCTTGGAAAAAAAGTTGCTGATCAAGTATGTAATACTAAGGACAATCTTATGAGTCAGTTGAGAACGCAAACGATGTGATTGAAATGTTTGCCATCTAAAGTGGATTCTCTTTCCAGATCTACAAAATGTGCCGTGGGGAAGTCGATGAGAAGAATTTTGTTTCCAGTAATATACGCAAAAGCATATCTTGTGATATCAATTACGGTATTCGCTTCACAAAGGTATTCGCCTTCTTCAATTTCTTATTTGATCCACTTTGTCTACTTGTTTGGTAGTGTATTAGGGTTGTTCATGACTTCATCTTTCTATAGATTATAGAAGGTGCAAGATTTTTGCCTTAAAATGGTGAAATGACTATATTAACAAATTTCAAGCTGATTAAGCAAGTGTGTTTGATAACTTATGGAGTTTTCTTCCACTTTAGCACTGTGGCAGCTGAGAGTCAGCCAAGTATTTCTAGAACCAGAACTTCCAAGAAACAACTTCTCATGACAACTGCTTCACATCTATGAAAATCTCTATAGTATTAAACTGTGTCTAGTACTTCCGCTCCTCAGTCAGAAAGCACTGCGTTAACACTTATATTTTGAGTGTGACAATCCACTAAAAGACGCAAAGTTTCATCTAGCTTTTCAAAGGTTTTGATAAATTTTTCAAGTGCTGTACTGCAAGAACTAGCAGCTACCAAATTTCTTCTGGCTGAAATGACTGTTACATTAGAATGAAATATTGGGGTCTGATTCTTGGTGTACGGTATACAAACACAAGAAATATGACGAACTTACACTGTTAGTGATTTATGAGGAATTACGGTTCTCAACATACTCTTTTTGGGTGAAGAATGTGGTAGATGTTTTTCTTCAATAAGCAGACACAAGATTGTTATTACAGAATTTATTAGGATACAATAGCTGAGGTTTCGGCGGTTTCGCCTTCTTCAGAGCCTGGAGAAGTCAGATTGAGATGCGATCTACTCAGCCAAACACTTTCATAACCCTAGTAGATAAAACTTAACAAGTAAATTTGTATTCGCATAAGAAACAGCTTCATTTAAACACCCACCGTTTATTTGTTGTAAGCATTTAAGTTAGTTGATGGATAGCAGCTGCACAGAGTAATACATGGGCGATAACTGTGCCTGTGTCAGGATCAGCCTGAAGTGTGGTGGTAGGTCACGCGTGATGGCAAGACACTCCTTGCGGTTCAATTTGAATTTTTGGCATTGATCCAAAACGTTTCAAGAGTTTTACGCGCTGTTGTTTTCGATTTCTGCATGAGGATAGTGACTCCTACTTCAAAGTGTTCTCCGTTGCGTTCCTGCATCCTATGCGCGCCTAGTGAAGTGTTTGGTTTTAATTTAGATTTACCGACTAGGTGTTCTTTCATGTGGACGCAGAGCGGTCTACCCGTCTCCCCAACGTATTCATTCCCACACGTTTTACAAGAGATCAAATAGACTGTACCCGAATTCATGCAATCACCGTCTCTACCATTTGGGCAAATTTTGCAGTTTTTCGTTATACATAGACGGTTATATAGGCGGTTGCGAACTAGCTGGCGTCTTAGAGTGTCCGGTGGCATTTCTATCACTCTTACGGAATTCTTTAGACCGGCCCTTATTAAGCAAAGTTTTACAGCTGCATTTGTTCCGTTTGAAGTAAAGGGCAACAGCAATGTAGCCTTGTTTTCGCTAGAATTATGGCTCTGGGGCGTGGGTTTTCCTCTATGCCTATGCCGAGAAGCTACAGTTTCGTAACCATTTGAAATGGCTATTTGGTGCGCCAGTTTCGAGGAGAAAGTCGGTCATGGGAATGTGGTAGAGTTCATCCTAAAGCGTGTCGCCTAAGTATTGCTCAGTCCAACTGCTAAATATTCTGCCAGCTTTCTCAATTCTATTTCTTTCTACACTGTGTAAATGAATCGTGGTGAAGAATTATCTACTACATGTAATCCCGCTAATCACGAAATTACTAGAGAAACTAGCTCATCGTCGCTTTGGCGCGTTGAAGCTAGTCTATGGACGCCTGATTAATGTCTTAAAGGGCAGGAAGATCGTAACATTTCTGGCGTCCGGTCCTACATTTCTATTTCTTATGCCGACAAAGCATTCGTGGGTAGCCGACAGAGTTCAACGACGGCTTAGATTTGCCGAGGCATTTAAGATGGGAATGTCAGCCTTTCTTCGATTGGTAGGTCTTCCTGGTGTGACGTATGCTAGCACGACATCCCAGTTTGTTACAAAGGAATATCTGCCCACGAGAAGGCAGATAACCTTAGATGTAGAAAGTGGGATTTCGGACTGTGGAGTACCGACGAGCTACCTGTTTTTATATACAAGTGTTTTATTTTCAATTAAAACTTGATATATCTTTGTAAAACTTGTCTACGCACTGGGTTATGGCATAATATTCTTATCAAGATTAATGTGCGGGTCTATAGGGAAATTATGAGCAAGGGAGCTATAGCGAAGTTCTGCCCAACAACTTTCTACCAATCGCTTTATACACGAAAGTGTTGACGAATTGCGCAGGTGAACTCTGCACAGTTAGTTTGAACAGTTTGAACCTGATTCCTTAGTGGTAATATTAACATAGAAATCCAGCAAACGTAGCAGGCTATAGGCACTATCGGTTGCGCTGATGTAGATCTTTTTAGGAAATCTAGATCTGCATTTGTAATACTGCTCATCTAGTATCTGAATCCATACTTTTCCTAGTGAAGAACATGCTTATTTTACGACATTCTTCACTGAATGCATGCTACCACCACTGTAATTTTCTTTTTTCAGAAAAGCGAAGTATGTCACTTTCTCCATGTCATTGGTCAGGAGCTTGAGAAAAAGCTCAAGCAAGCGAAAATGGTCACCAGTTCTGTCAGTCTAAAACTTATGGTAAGAAAAAAAAACACAGCCCTTTATGCTGAACAGTCATTTGCAGTTTAGTAAGATAAGACTAGAAAGTACTTTTGAAATCGGGCGGCACTATTGCGCAATGGTTAGTGGTGCCCTGCAGAACATATTGGGTAGATTCATCTCTCCGCGTAATAAACGACATCAATACCGTTACAATACCCGCTCTCTGATAGTGAATTACATGAACTAAAATCGAAGTTTGTACTTGTCCACACACGCTGGCTAATTCTGGCGCCACAAGGAGTGGAGTCTGCGGCTTAATTTGACTCAACACGTGAAAACTCACCGGACACCGTAAAGATTGACAGATAAGTGATAGAGTGTCTGTCTTCCTTCATTCGAATTGCCATAATCCGTATACGTGTAGGAAAAGTAAGATTTCATCGTTGGTTAATTTCTTAGAAAAGTGCTGTGGTTTGACTACATTAAGTGTATAGAGAGTTGTACTGTTGATGTATCAAGTCAGCGTTTTTGTGCTTGCGGGCTTGTCTGGTACAGTTTGTCGATACTGGAGTGGCGGGTGATTTGGTTTGCCTTGGGCGTCGATTTAAACCCACCTTCAGGTGCATCCCAGGACACTTCTAACCTTTACGCTATAGAAGGTTTACCTTCCATGTGAATCTGTACAGATTTAATTCGTATGAGCATATATGGAGATGAGTTCCTTTGCCCAGATTCGCTAAAATGTGAACGGGAAGTACATGGGTAGTGGCGTAGAGTCAGCGCGAAGAAATACGTTCTTCATATACTCTGGAAGGGGTGGTAACCTCATCGTGTGTGTACTTCCCCTGTGGAAAATCTTGCTTAGTCGTTTGTACATATTTGCCGTCAAAAACGGCAGAAATAGAGGCTCTCATTCCTCTGACTTCCGTACATACACGCACGTTAGCATAGGAATCTTCAACTGAGGGCATTAGGAAGACAAAGCTTCAAAGTTAATGATCTAAAATCATAAACTGCAGCAAATTACTAGTCATTTTTTGAATTCTTTGAGCTGCTTCTTGAGTGAGAACATTTTCGACAACACCCAATGAGAAACGTGACCGGATTTCAAAATGTAATATTTGAAATCACTAGTCAAAAAAACAGTGAGTGATCACTTTTTGGAAGAAAATTCCAAGTAATGTTCCAAGACCGTTACGAATGAGTAGCGGACAACCACCACTTAAGTGCAATTGTGCAAAGATATGTGAAGAAAGCGCGAGGTGCGCGTGTGGTGTAGTGGTTAGAGGCGCCCTGCAATACACATAGGTTCGGTCCCTTACCGTACCAGACTTCTGGGGAAGTAGCAGCAGTGACTCGATACTTCAGTAGACCACAGCGAGTAAAGGCCAGGTATCTATTTAAACACCTCCAACAATGCTTAGTGAAGTCAAATGCATGGCGCATACATCAGGCATTGATTAACGACAAGACCTTTTGTCCTTTTAACCTGGTTTAAAATATTGAAAGCCTTTAGTTGTTGTGCTGTTAACCACGTATTGACTTTTTGCCTTTTTCGTTGAAGTCCACATCTTTGGTAGAGAAAGCATGAGTCTTTTATCTACTCCCAAGGATTGTTTCCTACCCATTTCTTTCTGTGGTTCATGAATATTTATTTAACTTACAGATACGTAGCCCAGATGCACCAGTAGAAACGGAGAAGTATCTTGGACATGGAAAATGCGATGTGTTAAGCAAATCGACTTCTTTGGATCATCCCACTGGGTGTTCTCAGGTTGCTTAGTTAAATGGTCGTTCACCGCTTTCGAAATTACATTTATATAATATGATGAAAAGAGTATAATTCACAAACTTGTTAAGTATTGTGTAATTCAAATTCAAAACCGTCCTATTTGATCTAACAATATAATAGAATCAACTGCTGTCATGGCAAAATATTATTTGGTTTTAGATCATTACCACTATTGTCCTGAAGCTATTTGCAAATATGGCCCCTGTTATTTCAGATATTCGAGGTGTCAGTTGAATTTTATTTCATTTGTCCCAATCGTATAAAGTGCTTCGTCCACTTATTTTACGTTACAGATTGGAGTACAGTGTGGCCGGTTAGCATTGATGAAAGATGTGGGGTACTCCGTTAAATCCGAAGCGATCAGTAGAATGTTTCGCGTTCGGGAGAAAAAGAAAGGTGGGTAAGACGACATTCTTGTTGGTAGCTTTCAAAAGATGATCCTTTTTACTTCATGGTTTCTATATGTGATTTTTCTTGTCATTTAGATGACAAAAAGGTGGCACCAACTCCACAAACACGAGAGGTATTTTCCCACTTGTTATTAACTTCAGATTTTACAAAATAGTAATCTTGTCTTTCTAATATTTAAAGATTTATCATCAGGAACTACCAAAGGCGTTCAGCACCCA